AAACTGTAACTCACTTTTATTTGACAAGTGGTAGAACACAAGGCAGACCAAGATGATGATGGAGAGGTGCTATCCAGACAGACCTACAAACACTTGGTATCAACAAATTGAGAGAGAGAAGGCCAACCAAAGAGATAAATGGAGGTGGGTGATATCTGCAGCAATGAACCTCAAGGGCTCAGAATGCGATCTGAATTATTAGTTTAACTACTTCTTCTTCATACTGTCTCTGTTCAACCCCTTCAGATGTAAGTAAAACTGCTTCTAAGCTCAACTCCTTGGAACAGAAAGGTCAAAATAACAGTTGCCTACAGTTTGACAAATAGTTGTAGACAGCACTGGGAATTGTGTTAGAACAATGGTTAGACACTTACCTGCTGGCTCGAAGATATAGAGTTGAAATTTATATCTAGATGGATTTTTATGATTGAATAGGGTCCCCCAGCCTCCACTGGGTACCAATGTCCTGGGAGGGGGCAATCCACAGGATGTTAACATCATGTCTTTTTCTTCTGACCTACTGGTTATGTGGTAAAGCATCACACACAGGAGTTAGATGTAGTTTCCTGTCTTTTGTTAATTGTGTAGCATGTGTTAAGGTCATAGTGTGTTTCTGTAGTGTCTCTTTTTACTCCCTCCACCCATTACTTTCGTGGTCTGCCTCTTGGCTTGAAGCCTGATGTTCTTATGTAGTGAGCTCCAACTGCTAGCACATTTTGTTTCATTCTGACCAGATGACCAAACCATTTGATTCTATGAGTTCTATGAACTCATTTACCAGTACTTTGCCTACCAGTAATGAGTTCTTCAATGGCCACTCTTATTTTTCCTGCCACATTTACCATAACATCATCTCACATGTAATTATGCATCTCTTTTTCTAGAACTGCCCACGTCTGCTATTGATAACACTAGTACAAATAATGCATTTATCAGCTGCTTTTTTGTCAGCCATCAATGTCGATTCGTCTATAAAATTGTTCTTTTAAAATGTGTCTAGCCTGACTTACCTAATGCACCACATGGGAAAAGCTAAACCTGCGGACTGTATTCTGACCAGTTTTAGGGTACAGATAGGGAACAATTTTAGTGACCACAAGATGAAATCCACTCTTCTGTAAGAGGCAAGTAAGATTACTTCACACTGCAACAGCTTAATCCATTCGGCCTTCACAATGGTTCGCTGTCTGCCGAAAATATGGCACAAGACACTAGCTCTAGCAATGATCCCTCCCCCAACCCCAGGGATCTCTCTAAATAAATGTCTCTTTCATGTCTTTGTTTGCAAACTCTGTGGCGGAAAGTTCTGGTTGTTGGCCCACATCCATTTTACAGATCTGGTTAATTTCTATTCAGACTGCTAGTTCACAGTTAACAGGCAGATGCCCTCAGACTTCGAAGAGAACATCTCTCATTAGTAGACTTTTACCACATGCTTGTTAGAGAGGGGGATGGGGTGTCTCTCAAACTCCCTCACCTGCTCCCCCACAAGGCCCTGGAACACATACATCAAGTTTTGGCTATGAGTATCTGATCAGTATCCCTGTGTGGGTTCCAGGGCTCCATTTACAAGTGGGGGAAGAACAACAGACCCACTGTCCCCTAACAAGTATCTGTAAAAGGCAATTAATTAGGGGTCTTTCCTTCCAAGTCAGAGCGCATCGGTCTGCAACTCAAGGAACCAACAGTCTGCATATAAATAAACCAGATCTGTAAAAAATATGCGCAGGCAAAGCTCAAGCTGTGGAACAAGATCCAAAACTCAAGTTCTGAAACAAGATCAAAGTCCAGAACTGGGCAAAGAACAACACATTTCTGCCAGAGTTTACAGCAAACTGACATTACATTTAAACATACTACTCTGACTGGGAGGATCTGAGCACCTATGGACATGTCTGGAGTGCAATGATGATAACCCAACTAACTAATACCATCTTGACTGATTCAGACCATGTAATACATATCCAGGTCTCAGGAAGATACAAAAAATGAGTCAGGGCAATACGTGATCTAGTGCCTAGAGGTGATAAGTGAACAATTAGTTAGTTAGTCTTTCCTCTTGTGTCGAGTGCGGCACATAGGGCAGAGGTCATGACTCTCCATGCACGACGGTCCGTTGCAGGTCTTGGATGTTTGAGTGGCCCATGAGCGAGCCTTCCCTGATGATAGTTCTACGTAGGGTTTCCCTTGGTCTTCCACGAGATCTTTTCCCCTGTGGTGTCCAAATGAGGGCTTGGTAAGGAAGTCTTGATTTATCCATTCTAAGGGCGTGGCCGACATAGTTCCAGCGGCGTTTTCGTATAAAATTAGACACATACTCTTGCCTGGATTCTTGTCTTATTTGTGTATTGGTTCGGAAATCTGACCATTTGAAATTTAGTATTCTTCTAAGGCATTTATTTTCAAAACTGTCTAATTTTGTGTCTAGAGTTTTCGTTGATTTCCAGCTCTCGCATCCATAGGTTAGTACTGGAATCACACAAGAATTGAAGATCTTGAGTTTTTGTGTGTTTGCTAAGTGTCTTTGATTTCCAGATGTTAGACAGTTTATTGAAGGCACTAGATGCCAGTGCTATTCTAAATGATATTTCTGGTGCGGTATCTCCTGTAGATGACATCTTGCTCCCTAGATAAGTGAAACTGTTGACTTTTTCAAGGCTGTTGTTGTTCAGCGTGATATCAACTGAACTGTTGGTAAGGTCTAGAATTTTTGTTTTTGCTGTGTTAATTTGGAGTCCAATTTGTTCTGAGAAATTCTGGAGTCGATTGATTTTTTCTTGGGCGTCTGTGTGTTCTGAACTCAGGAGTGCTATGTCGTCGGCGAAGACTAGGTCTTCCAGAATTTTGTCAACCCATGTAATGCCTAAATTTGAGTTATTTATGCACTTGCGCATGACCCAGTCGATTGCTATACCAAAAAGCATCGGCGATAGGACACAGCCTTGCTTCACTCCTGTTTCCACCGGGAACCAGTCAGAATTGCCGGAATCAGTTCTTACACAGCATCGTGTTTCATTATAAAAAAAGTGAACAATGCCGACAATAATTTTGTTAATGCAAATTTATAAAGACCACATACAAATTTATTAATCAAACTATGAACATAAGTTAAATTAAATTATACAAATTAATCATAATTTTCAGGCACTTAGTGAGACAAACAAAAGAAATTTTTTTTTTTTAACTATGTCTGTAGAACTGTGTTAAGTGTAACATTCATATTGTCACACAAAGGTCCTTAAATTCAATAAGCAGTTTTAACCCATTAACATGCATGATATCTATGAAATGTATGACATCTATAAATCTGAATAAACATTACAGGCAAAATAAGGACGAGTTTGAATGAATATTTTGGCTTTTGTAATTCAAAGGGTGTGGCAAGAATACATTTCTGGTCACGAATTTCCTTGCACCAGGAACCATATTGTCCCATGTTTTTTCACCAAATATATGTGGCTCTGGTGTTTAGAGGCCAGTGAGCCCATTTCACAATCCTCAACATACCAGAGTTCAAATTCTGTGGCAGCTGATTTAGAAAACAGTTTGTTCTTAGGGCAATGTGGAAGAAAACAGTCGCTTATAATTGTAAAAAAAAAATTTGTTTGTGCTAGCAAGAACCCAGATAATATCATCAAATATGAGCCCTCTAAACATGTCCCAGTAGAGAAGTCGGAAAAGTTCACATTTACGGGGAGCTGGACCCAACCAGAAATGTCCGTTCTGCAGTGTGTGTGGGCAACAGGGTTTTAGAAAATATCAGTGAATTTATTATTCGCACTTTCTACTTGCTGTTCTACATCAAATATACTCGACTCTGCGCACAAGATGTGTTCATATTATACAGAGCGGTGAAACTTCTTCCAAGGCTAGCCACGTGTTACCAGACCTATATGGAAAGCAAAGTATAGAAACATTGTAACCTCCCATGCATGTCGCAACAGGCGAGTAAATCTGGCTAGTGCAGGACTGGCTATGTTATCCCATGGAAAACATTAGCTGCAAAATCCTACCCATCACCATCAAGTCTACAAAGGTCGGTTTGAGTTGATTCATGGTGTATGTTTCATTGGGAGATGAAAGGCAGAAAAAGAATCTTGGGACAGGCTCTACTGAAGGAGTATAATGTTAGGCCTTTATGTATGCTAGGCATTTACATATGTATGTAGGCCTTTACGTATGCTAGGCATTTACGTATGTGTGTAGGCCTTTACGCATGCTAGGCTACAGCATAATTAGGCAGGTGTCGCTGCTTGCTGCCTTTTTTAAAATAAAATTTCTACAAATGATAATCATAAATTGTACGTTCTAGAAAGGTTTTTCAAAGTTTAAAATTGGGGGTAATCTTATACACGGAATGTGTTTAAAATATTAATTTCTTAATTTTTTAACACATAAAGAAAATAGGGGTCATCTTAAACATAGGGGCGTCCTATGCATGGGAAAATATGGTGTTCCAATTTTGTGAGGCTCAATGACCCCATAAAGTTGGGAAATACCTTGCCACTGCTGCAAACGGAACCCAGTCCAACAATGTGGTCAGAAAGTGTGATAACAACTATGCCACCCTAGCTAGCTACTTCATTATTTTTACTCCCTGTGTAGATTCCAGGGGCCCATTTGGAGACAGGGGGGAAGGGAAGTAGACCCATCACCCCCTTAACAAGCACATCGTAAAAGCTAACCAAGTAGGAATGTTTCCATCAAAGTCAGGGGGCCTCTGTCTGAGAGGCAGGGAACTAACACACTTACAGATATGGCAGTTTTGTTCTGAGCACGCAAAACTCTTTTTCTGGAACAAGACTAAAGTCCAGAAGTGGATGAACAATTCGAACTTTCCACTGGAGTTTACAGCCGTTGCAAGCAAAGAAGAAGATGATAATATATACATAACTATTTTACATCCTGCCAAAACTGCAGTATGAGTGTTGTCATTGTAATGATACAAAACAATTGCTTTGAAAAGTATGCTCAGTCCTGTTGTGATGTTATGAAGTCCATCATACCACACCTGCCTGAAATCAAAACAGATATAAATTAAGTCTAGCAGAAGTTAATTAAACACCCTCTCTTAAAAAAACAAAACTATTTCATGCACACCGGGACTGATATAGTAACTAAATATTCATCCAGTAAACCAATTCTCATTTAAAAAAAAAAAAACATATTGCATATCTTCTTCTTCTTCATTCACCCTTTAAATGGCGGAAGGTACAGTGTTGTGGTTTTCAGCTAGACTGCAACATCTCCAACTTTCAGCCCAACACATTCGACTGTACATAATTTCAAGCTTTCTCATCATTTAATCATATGTTAAATCGTGCAACGGATTGTCCCCCCTTAACTCCAAACACAGTTCACGAATGCTTGAAGTCCTTACACCCAAGTTCAAAACCTCAGTAAGGCACCTCCCCCCCCCCACTTTGAGACGTCATTAACTCTTGCATGAAAATTTTGGTGTCAATATACATACATGGACCTATACCACGAACAAATAGCAACAAACAGACAACATCGTCTAACCTTAGATAGAGATAAAAAAAGCAGTAGGTCAGGGAAGTGTGTTATCCCCAAACCCTTTGAACTTATATACATAATTTTTTTCAAAACAAGTTGAAGGATTGCCTGGACTGAATATTAATGGTAGATGGAAGAACAAGAAACAATCTGAGAAATGCTGATGACACACTGCTACTTGAAGAAAGCAAGCAGGAGTTACAAGACCTAGTGGATCAAATGAACAGGTAGAGTGCAGAGTATGGTTTAGACATGAACATTCAATAGAAAAAACTATAGTAATTAACAATGGAAAAGAGTGACCAAGAGTCAACATCACAGTAAACAGAGAGATATCTGAACAAGTAACAGGTTTCTCCTATCTTGGATACGTAGCAACAGATGATGGCAAAATTGAAAAAGAAAAAACAAAAAAGAGAACAGGAATGGCTAAAATTACTTTCAATAAAATCCCAAATTTAGGACAGCAAGAGACAAATACAACACAGGGGTCTAACCATTGGAACCTTGCAAGTACCGCCTCAACCTCCATTCTCATGCTGGATGTGGTAATGTATGCCACACTCTCCTCAGTCGTCATTCTCCTTCAAGCTTTTGCAATGAGGTTCCATTCAATTTTTTTGGGGCCCTGGCCCATCAGTGTATATAATCACATCTGGCCTACAGTTGTTCTCTATCAGCTGTCGAACCATTTTATAGTCAACCACCCTTCAGTCAGCGTCTATGGCTTAGGCACTGCAAATGCGCTTCGTAATGCCGGGGTGCCAGGTTCGATCCCTGCTGCGGACGGTTTGTCTTGCGATGGTTTCGACCGTGGTACCGAGAGCCTACCGCCCAGAAAGCAATGGCAAACTACTGGAGGTAAATTTGCCTAGAAAAACCACAACAGCCAGAAAGTGCTGGGGTTGGTTCTGCAACGTCCTGTAAAGGATACACAACTAATTTATTGATACCCTATATTAGGAACCCAAGCATTATCCCTCTAACCCTGAAAACCTCTTGCATGAACATCTAGAGACTACTAGGGTACACTGTTAAACAAAAACAACAACAAACCAACACCAGCATGTGATCATGCTAAACACAACCAGTCATCAAATGTTTGATGTTGAATTAAGAAACGACATCACAGCACTTGGGACACTCCCATAAATGCTCAGTCCCCATCTTCAACAGCAAGCAAAGAGTTCTAATTCCGATGGTACCAGTAACCGCCTGATCGTAAATCTGTATCATCCGTCCCCTGGGTGTCGAGTGTCAGCCAGATCCCCTGGTAACTTCTCGCAGCGCCATTCTCCTTAGACCGTAATGATCTATCTGCGCCTCCGCACTGTTCACTCACTCCCAAAGGGCCCTCGTAATATCTAACTTGTCATACATCAGTTCACCACCACGTGGTGCAGAGCCAGCCAGTCATCAATGGAAAGTTTACCTGTTGAGTCCCCCAGGTCAAGTAATCGGGCCTGGTGGCAGCATTATACTCATCAACCAACTGCTGCAGGGATTCTCTAGAGTCATCAAACTCATCCAAGTTGTCTTTGAAAATATCTTCTTTCTTGAACTGATCCATGAAAGCTTCCCGTTTTCTCAGCTTGTCATACTGTTTCAGTATGCGGTCAAAGAGCTGTTGGAAAAGTATAACAATGTAATGGCTATTTAATTTCAATATAATGCATAATTTATCGCCTGGCATACTTCTTCTTCTCCAGCATTCACCCATAACCATATTGCACAGAGAAGGCTAAATCTAGTCACTTTAGGCTGTGACACAGCTCCGTAAATGCCAATATATCGCCATTTCTGCAGTGCCGTGTTCTTGAAAAGCGCAGTTAAGTGCTACAGGCTCTTTGTGCGGCAGCAGTCTTAAGCAAGGAGACTTAGACATGAAAAAGTAAAATATAGCACTGAAAAAAAAAGTCAGTGTATCTTGCACATGTCTCTCCACGAAATCAATCAGATGACAGAACAAGTTCAGTGCTACTTGCAATGCTGATCTGATTATTGAATCGCCCATCATTCATTTTCTGCAGGGACTGGGTGGAATGTTGGACAATAAGCAATATAAGTGAGGATAAAATGCTCAAAATTCCTTAGAAAGTAAAAATGAGTAATCCAGATGTTTGAAAAGAGGCAAAGATTCAAAGACAACTTATCATAAATGTCAGATGGAGAGTTCCCTGTGTGGGTTCCTGGGCCCTATTATAGGGAAAACAAGAATAGACCCACTATCTACTTAAAAGCATGTCGTAAGAGTCGACTAATTGGGAGCTTCCTTCGAAGTCGGAGTGTATCTGCCTGAGAGGCAAACAACCAACAGTCTGCATACAAATTAGCCAGATATGTCAAACGGATGCACATGCAACACTCAGGTTATGGAACAGGACTGCAATCCAGAAGTGGATGAACAACCAGAACTTTCCGCCGGAGTATAAAGCCGGTAAACATGAAGAAGAAAAAGAAAGAAGGAGAGTCACAATCTTCAGACCATGATATGAAAAGAGGGAAACTGGACAATGTTTTGACCAGTGGAAAGAGTCAGAGGGAAAACAAAGTCAGAAGATTCCTGACAGCCTTTTGTCACAGTATGTTGGCACAAGAAATGATACATGCTGCTGGAAATCACAGGTTGTGGAGAAGCATGATTGCCCACGCCTATTGGCAAAGCACTTGAGATGATAAGACACTGACAGCTGTAGATGTAAACAAGGTTACTCTCCAAAACCAGATTTACAACTCCAGTGGAAGCTGTGTTAAGCGTCGGTTAGCATATTCGGTGGTAAGTTTAAATCTCCAGCAAAAGCAGATCTTCAAACTTGACTAGGGCTTCCCTGTCGGCCTAATTAGAATTGGTACTCAGAAAATATTCTGGAAAGTAAGGATGGCTGCCACGATACTGAGCACATCACCTATCAATTACACATTGGTCTATAACAATGTGAAGCTAGCACAACATGCCCAATACAAATCAACACAGAGGGAAGCAGGTTAAAAAGGTACAGATAGTTGGTGAGTAGGGCAGAGAATGATATCAAGCAGATCTGTAGTCTTACAGACATCAACCCAGGTAAAGAATGGATAACTGTGTCTCAAGTGCTGAACTCTACCTTCTTCTATATTGTCATGCTTGGTAGGTGTTGTCAGGAGCAGAATCCTGTTGATGTCAATGCTTAGGTCCCCGCACTTATCAGTGACAATTCAGATGAGGCAGATGTGGTTTTCTACATAGACAGATCCATTTTACAAGGACACGGAGGGGCACGGGCATTCATAGCACGTTCTGCAGGCAGAACATTCCAGGAAGCCAGTGGTGACTCCTCTATGACTACTAGCAGCATGATGATGGAAGTGATGGTGGCAACATGTGGCTGGAAACACAGGGCTGTTCTCATATCTGAGTGATTCTATGAGCATGATCGGGGGATGCGGCAGACTGTATGCAGACAGTGGAATGAGTCATTGCGAAACTCTGCTGTGCATTGGAGTTACTTACCTTCATCTCTGTTCCAGGGAATGTGGGTGTTGTTAGCAATGAAAGAGCTGACAGACTGGTGAAACCCGGCAAAGAACACTGGTGACAGAGACCAAAGATCCTGGAGTGAGGTCATTCCATGATATCGAAAAAAGTACAGGACATAACAGAATGGAGGAATAGACTGTAGCTCTGTGTGACATTTAATGGCATGATAGATTGACGATAACAAATAAAGTAAGAGTAAGTAAAGTAAAGGACCCTTTTCCATGCCTTCAGGTACATTGGGCATATAGGGCTAGACATATATTTTATAGACCAATCAGCACTCGGTGGGCGATGTGATCAACATCACGATGATGATAACAAATAAACCAGACTTACATGTGAGATGTTTGTGTGGTTCGCCAGCATCAGGCCACTGACTCTATGGGCTGTCTGGATGTATGGTGACTTCCTGGACAGTGCCACCTGGATACTGGCAGGACCCCAGGGGATAAACTGGGCTAGTTTACGCTCTCGGATTCTCTGTAGACTTTTGTGCACCTAAAGAAAAAAGATGACAAATTCTTATGCCAATTGTGTGATCTCCTTTAAAGGTCTTCTCTATTGTTAGACATCTAAGTAAGTTTAACAACAACAAAAAACCCCGCTCAACTGACATAAAAAGAGCAGAAATGGGCTTTAAACAGTCAGTATGAGTCTTAGTCAAGGTTTCAATTTCACTGTAGTCGGTTCAACCCATACTTGCTCCGTTCCTGTACCAGTGAAAATCAAACGAAATGACCCATTAGAAAACAGGTAAACAATAATTCCCGCAAAAATTAGAAATATGCACACACAGTGACTGCATATGGCAGCAGCTAGAGGCGCCAAAGCCAACAGTTGCCACCAGAAAAGCAGTTTGTTTTTGATGGAATAATCGGTCACCATAAACTGGCTATACAACCGTAGAATTATTACATAAGGTATTTCACCAGCCCACAGGTAAGCCTGCTACCGGCCATATTGAATACAACCACTCACCCGCTACGCAAATCTTTTTTTTTCTTCTTTCGTTCGCATGAAATAAATTGTCTATATCTGCAAAGTTGTCTCTTGTATGAATTTCACTGTCTTTTGTAATTCACTAAGCGGCCCGTAAAGTTTGACTTCCACAAGTGTCTCTTTTGGCCAAATGTTTTGCCTGAAAGCGTTGAATATGGGACAGTCTTGAAGGATGTGATCTGTTGTTTCAGGTGCCAGTCCACAAGTACACATGGCCGATTGGCCAATCTTAAATTTGTTGTACATGTGGGAGCGAAGTCTATTGTGCCCTGTTCTAAGGCGAAGGATAATAACTTGCTCTGGTCTGTCCATAATATGGTAATCATCTTGTGCCAGTTTCGGTGGCATTCTGATTGATTTGATCATTCTCTTCTTCTGTTTGATAAGAGACTGGTATGTCAGGTTGTTCTTCAGTTGCACCTTCCTTAGCTAGTTTATCAGCTTTTTCGTTTCCGGGAACTCCACAGTGGGAAGGTATCCACTGCATTACTAATTTACAGCGGTTGCCTAGTTCGGATAATAGTGTCCGTATGCTTGGTAATTTTCCAGACTGGAGTGACTAAAGTACTGCTTTTGCATCTGTCAGGAATACCACTGGTTGTGAAAAATACCCTGTATTTAGTAGTTTCTCTACCGCTATCTTGATGGCTTGAACTTCTGCATCATAGTTGTGACAGTGCTTTCCCATTGGTAATTTGGCTGTATCCCTGGTATTATTAGGATACTCAATGTACACTCCCGCACCTCCGTTTCTGACTGCGCTTTCTGCTGACCCATCTGTGTAAACACGGACCCAAAGGTTCTGCGGGTATTCATCATCAAGTAAATTGAGGGTGGCTGTTTTGCGCTGCACACTGTTTTGTTCTTCCTTGTCAAATACCCCTTTCACTTCAGTCTTGATGTGTATTGGAAACTTATACTCCTCTCTCCAGGGGGTCCGTTCTGGGACAGCATTTAAGGATCTATCAGTTGCAGGTAAATCAGTGGTTTTGTCTGCCGAGCCGTTTGGCCTGGTGGATAAAACTACTTCTCTTTAGTCGTCCCAAAGCTAAATTTTTGAATCTTTCATTCATAGGGTGACTGGGCATACTAAGAAACTTTTCTGCTTGTAAAAGCATCTTGGTGTCTCTGCGTTCACTTAGTGCTTGGGTCATCCCCATTTTTCTCCATCACAGCTATAGGTGTTGATTTCATACTGCCTGTGGTAACTCCGAGTGCTTGATTTTGCACTTTGTCTAATTCTTGCAATGTGGTTTTTGATGCCGAACTCCATGCTGTTGATCCGTATTCAAGATGTGGTCGAACACTTTGTTGGTAAAACTTTTCTAAGTATTTTCCCGCTAGCACACCCCATGTGGTTCCAATTAGTTTTTCTCAGAATGGCTACCCTCCTTCTGGCTTTGGTTGCTGCCTTGTTGATGTGTTTTCTCCATGTTAATCTATCATCAAACGTTACGCCGAGGTATGTGGGCTCCTTATCCTCTCTCAGGGGTACTCCATTTATGTGCATGGCGCCTGATTTTTGTTTAGGAGAAAGGGTAAAGAGAGTGGTGCTGCATTTGCCTATGTTGATGCTGACACACCATTTGTCGGCCCATTTAGCCATTGCATCTATGGCTCTTTGTAGCAGTCTGGTGGCCATTGTCGCATTTTCATTTGTACACCAGAGTACCAAGTTATCAGCATACATTGCAGCTTTAATTCCATGGGGTAGTTCAGAAAGCAGGTCGTTGATATAGACTAGGAAGAGTGTGGGGGACAGGACACCTCCTTGTGGGACGCCATGGCGCAGCAAAACTTTCTTGCTCTTAAGTCCATCTATCTGTACTCGGGATCTTCTGTTATACAAGTATGCTTTGACCCATTTGTACATACTCCCATTCACCCTGCAGTCTCTCAGTTTCTTCAGTAGACCTTCTTTCCAGACCTTGTCAAAGGCTTTCTTCAGATCTATCCATGCCGTTAGCACTAGCTTCTTTTCCTGGAAGGCATCCTCAATTTCTTGTGAAAAGTAAATTGTCTGGTCTTCTGTGGAGTAGCACTGTCTAAATCCTGCCTGCTGCGGCGTGAAAATGTTTTCACTTTCCAAGTACCATTCGAGTCTAAGGTTGACAATACGTTCCATTGTTTTACAGAGGCAGCTGGTAAGACTGATCGGTCTATAGCTGGAGGCATCAGAACTGTCCTTTCCTGGTTTAAGCAGAGGTATTGTGATTGCTTCTCTCCATATTTGAGGAACTTTGCCACTGGTCCAACAATGATTAAAGATCTGTAGCAACTTTATTTTGGCAGTTGTTCCAAGGTTCTTGATCATTTCGTTGGTGATTCCATCAGTTCCAGGTGATTTTCCCATTCTCAGCTTTGATATTGCTAACTCTAACTCGCTGGATGTAAATGCTGCCACCAGTGCCTCAGGAATTATATCTTTTTGTCTTGTATGTTGTTTGTTTTCTTGAACCTCTCGCTGTTTCTCTGGGCTGACATTAATGTTGCTGTCTTCTGCAAAGGAATCTGCAAAGTGGTCAGCTGCCTGTTTTCGTGTTAGGATGGCTCCCTCTTTGCATAGTGCAATATTACCATTTCTTCCTGTATTCTCATCATTAATTTGCTTAATTAACCTCCACAACTTCCTTGTGTCTCTTTCGCTACGCAAATGAAAGGCATTCAACGTGAACAAAAAAAAAACACAGCTCATAGGGCTGCACCAAGCACTAAACTCGGTAGCTCAGGCAACGAAACCATAGCCTACCATCCATATGTGGAAAATCTCAAACAGTCAATGGCCATTATGCTGGGGAAAATAAACAAACAAACAAAAAAAATCACAAACATGCACGCACACACACGTGTCATATCAATAACAGAACTGTTGTCTAGTTAATCTGATATTTTCTAACAGAACGGTCTACTACTGTGCCCACTCTTAAAAGGTCGAAAATCAGATGGCATGATATGTTGTGGTTTAAACTAGACCACAATATCTGCCCCTTTTTAGCCAAACACATAAGATTTCAGCCAACCCTTAATTAATCGACTTTTACAAAAGTGTTAGGGTCACAGTGAATCTATTCTGTCTCCCAAAATGGGGTCCCAAAGCCATGGTGGCTAACAGAACCAACATTATTTACTCCTCTCAAAGAAACCCAAATGGGTTCCATTACCACAGAAGATATCAAAGGTTGCATCTCTCAGGTGTCTTGTCAGATGGCTTCGGCAACCACGCTTCACTACTAACCACAGTCTCTAGCATGGGTTACTAATTTAACTTATGTTGCTATCATATCCAATCTTCCTGTTTTTAGCATTCACTGGCTGTAAACTCCAACAGAGTTCTGGTTGTTCGTCCATCATGGACTTTGGTCTTGATCCAGCACATCAGTTTAACAGATTTGGCTTACATGTATGCAAACTGCTGGTTGTGAACCTCTCAGGCAGATGAACTCACACTGAAGGAAACGCCCCTAATTAGTCTCCTGTTACAACATGCTTGTTTGGGCGTCAGTGGGTTTTACTCCCGCTCCCAATGGGACTCAAGAACCCACATGTGGAAGTGTTATGTATGAAGTGATTAGTACCTGAGTGGGATCCACCTCCCCTTGAATGATGTTAAGAATAGAGATATAGCAATGGTTGCTTCCAAGCCTCTGGGTGGGTGTTGATACCATCATGTTTTTCGGCTGCAGCAATCTCCTCATGACATCCAGCACTGTTGTCTTGCGAATGCTGGCTACCTGCAACAACAGCATCAGCGTTTTAACAGGATACTTAACTCTTTCAGTCCCCAACAACTCATCATGCACTTCAGGATAAGTTAAAAAATAATACAATTTACCAGCTGTCTTCTGTCAAAGAATAGTGTTAAAATATTCTTTATTGTCTAGATTACTGGTTTAAAATCTCCGCGTTCACTGGCTGTAAACTCCAGCGGAAAGTTCTGGTTGTTTGTCCACCTCCAGAACCTCAGTGATGTGTGCACATCCGTTTCACAGATCTAACTTAATTGCATGCAGATTGTTGGTTCCTTGCCTCTCAGGCTCACCCAGATTGTGAGCTGAAATCCTGCACCAATCCTGTTTCGACTAATAAAGATTTTGGCTAAGAAATGCGAATCAGGAAAAACTTATCTTTGTTAGAAGAGACATCACAGTAAATGTAAACACTCTTCTACTTCAATGCCAAGCACAATGTTTGAGCTACCTGTGAATCTGTGGTCAGCGGTGTGTAGCCAGTCATCAGAAAATGGAGACGCGGAGTAGGTATCAAGGAAGCAATTAGTCCGATCAGATCATTGTTCATGTATCCTGGATATCGAAGGGTGGCGGTTGATGTTGCCATCACCGTAGATACCTGATGAAGATAATAAAAAGATACATATGAAAAATGGAGGCAGACAGTTTACGCCAACAGCAATTAACTCTTTGAGTTTCTAGGTCAGCATATTTGCCCAACAGCAGAAATAATGACAACAGCAAAATCACAAGTGTATTACTGACAACCTTAACTTTCATTGGGGAGCGGACCTGACACATGTAGTAAAATGAAAAATATGTTGCCAAAAATGTTAAGAGTTGAAAAACAAAAAGGTCCAGAGCTGCGGTAGCATAGCTGCTAAATGCAAATTTTACTGAGGCCAATTTTTTTTTAAAGGTCAACCCAGCTAAATGTCCTGGAAAGTAAAGGCAGTCAGCGAGATCTGACCACATCAATCAATGAGTGCTAACTGATTTATAAATACACAGGTCTAGTCTGATGTACCAAATAAGTATAGGGTCTTTATAGAAAGAAAAAAAAAAAAAGACATAAATTTAAAATGTACTCAACAGACAGAAGTAATTTAGATTAATGGATATATGCATGTAAATTATTCTCTTTATGAAATAATCTACAATCGTACATTATGACTAATAAAACGTGCGCTACTTCTTCAGCATTCTGAGCCCCTGAGGTTCATTGCTGCAAATATCAACCGCCACCATTTATCTCTCTGGTTGGCCTTCTCTTTCCAGTTGGTAACACCAAGTGTTTGCAGGTCTGTCTGGATATTATCTCTCTATCGTCTTCTTGGTCTCCCTCCTGGTCTATGACTATAAGTCTCCCTGGTGTATACAGTTTTTACTTCTCTGTCATCTGACATTCTTTCAATATGCCTCAACCATTTCAGTCTATTAGCTCTCATGATACCAGTGATCAGTGGTGATTTAAACAGATTATGACGTGCGCTGCCTAAGTAATAATATATCGACTTGACCTGTCAAAAGTGTAAGACATTATCAGTTTAATTTGATTCAGTTGCTCTATTATTCAGACATTATGCATTACATGTATACTACCGCCAAACAGTAACTAACTACCATCCAATAAGGATGATGAACAGATGAATAGTAGCGCACGAATGCCAACACTTACAAGCTGGTTGACTTGTGTGAAAGTTGGGGTATCAATGTGAAGCCTGTCTGCTGCTATTCTGTTTAACGCAGTGTTGTCTAATACCACCTGAATGTATGGATAGAGAAAGCAGTCAATTGACAAGAGGAAAACAAATGGCATTACATTTACAAAAGAAAACAGAAACAATCCTGTGCTGTGCAAACAAAAAGAGTATGTTGTAAATGCTGAAATTCCTTGGTAACCTTTTGGCTATCTTGAAATTTCTGCGGTGAGATGTACAGGGTGATGCAACAGGAAACCTATAACAATAACAATCAACTCCAATGTGTCCAAACGTGAATTAAATGATGAAGGTCAGGTACAAAGCGAACACTATGATCCGAATGAAAAATGTGCACAACTTGATACAGGGTTAAAACACCCAAATACTCCAAGCACTCGCCAGCGCACTCACACTCTTCCAACATCATAATCCATGTTAGATCTCCTATTCTGATAACTCCGTACGGGTCAAAATTACGACCTTGAGAGTCTAAACGGTTACTTCGACCTCTTCATCTGCAGTCTAATACTAGATAACAGGGCAATGTCCCACCTTCTTGTTTCTGCCAGCTTTCCTGCTGAGTAATTCAATAGTTTTAAATATTTCTGCTTCCTGCAGAACGCAATAATGTACCAGCTCTCGGCTAAAGTTTCTACGTGGAATCCTGGGATAGAACTTCCTCAAGGATCCAACAAGGCCTGACCACACGTCAGTCTTCTTCAAACTTTTGACTGCGAATCTCCGTGGCATTCTAGGGTAAAACTTCCCCAAGGATCCACCAAGGCCGGACCGCACGTCCGCCTTCTTGAACCTTTAGATTCCGACTGCTAATCTCCTAGATTCCAATTCCCTAACAACACTACGTAATGTTTTGACGTCCTATTTGCTCAGTCAGTATCGGTGTGTTTTAGTACATATCCACAGCGACAAGTCTGAACCATTCTTTAATACACAAACAATATTATGCATACCACACAATGTGAAACTTTCTTTAACGTGGACAATGTATATACCATACAGTCTGAACCATTCTTTAACACACAAACAATTCTGTGCATACCTCACAATGTGAAATCTTCTTCAACATGGACAATGTATACACCATACAGTCTAACCCATTCTTTAACACACAAACAACACTGTGCATACCACACAATCTGCATTCTGGGTCAGTCTCTTTAGTGTCAGCAGTGAGTTGTAAGGCTGAACAACAACATCAGAAATCTCATCCACGTTTGGAAACACTGAGTATGTTTGTGTCAGCTTCTTGGGAAACCTGGCAATATAAACAATATTATCTCTGAGGAAAACCTGACTTTGATATCTTCTCCTTTTTTGCATTCACCTCTGCAAACTCCAGCATAAGGTCTTGGAAGTTCATCCACCTCTGGACGTGTGTGCGTATCCATTATCCAGATCTGGCTTATATGTGTGCAGACTGTCCGTTTCTGGCCTCAGGTTGATTTGAAAAAAAAAAAAAACCCAAAAAACCTTAATCTTATCTAGGTTAGCCAGGCCGCTGGCTGGAAATCTGTCACCTAGAATAGGTGTTCTACGCCCAAAGGTATCAACGTTCAACATACCTTCACATAAACAGTTTTATTACTGTCACATTATTTGTAAATTAAATTAAATTTTTTAATAGTTATTTTACTTATGGTTTACTACTTTAATTCAGATTATTATTTTATTCCATCTCTTATCAGTACCAATTATGGATAATGACATGTGTATTTCTACTATTATTGTTTATTATCACCATTACTTTTATGACTATTTCCGAGCCTTCCTTTATTTTATTTAACCATTCCACATCACCTTTGTATAAGTACATGCTGTTCTGAAAGTAACTGGCCATCGGCCATTTTTCGTGCAGTTCACAGCACAAAACCACTGTGAGAAAAAAAAAACATGCTACATGAAATCCACAGCTTACAGTGTTACACCAAATGGGAAAATTCCATCAGCAAACCATGGTTAGAAACTTTTTAAAGTGTCAGGGGCCAGCCTGCCTATCCACCATACTTGACTAGAAGTCCAAAAGAAGTCTGGCTACAGAATAGGACAAAATATGCCAAAACTACATAATACCACATACCTGTATACAAAGACCTTAACCGTTAAAGAATACTGAATTAGAGGTACTGTTTTATTATTGTATATTAAAGTAAAGTAAATGTCCCTTTTCAGGTGTATTGGGCATTTAGGGCCAGACCTATATTTTATAGATCAATCGGCACTCAGTGGGTGATAAGGGTCACAACATGCTGGCCATCTTTACTTCGCATGACTTCTCCTGCTACCCATTAAAGGCAAGGTCAACCTGGGAGCCAAGGTGATTTTTTAAATAAGTCCAGCTCCATCAGACACGAACCAACAACCTTTGGATCCGCAGGCAAGCATCTAGCCACTGCGTTAATGGCTCTAATTTGTGTGCTGTAATGTTGTGAATTCCCAGGGAAATCCCAGAGAGTTCACGATGGGGAGGACAAGGTCAGAGGGCCAGTGATACAAGAGAAAAACGAGATAAGTGGGTCTCGAGTATCCCATGGTGAGCGAATAAAAGGGATACAAGAAAAGCGTGAGACTGGAACTGAAGATGTGGACCGAGAGACGGTAGTAAGACAGTTGAAATTTGGAGCTGGTTGCGAGAGGTCGTATGTGAGAGAACGCCTGAAGAGAATGGAGAACTTGTGACAACGTATAACTGTTCAGGAGAAGACATGAATGTTTCCTGATTGCCAGTTGCAACCTGTACTAATACCAGGTACAAGGCTTTAGCAGGAGATGGATGTGTGATTTGAGAGAACAGGATGTATCAAAGCAGTGTGCGAGAGGATTGGTCAGACCGTCAGAAATCAGCCAGGCATAACGACCACAAGGACGAAAGAATGCGCTGTCAGTGATTTGTTTGATTCACCTAATAAAGGTCTATAACTGAAAATTCATTTATGGTGTGTCATAGCAACTAAGTGTTCGTCAATACAGCAATGTGGCGTGTAGAAACAAACCCCTAGCAGAGCACATTGCAGTGCTAATATGTCAATTATGTTCACCATATACAAATGTTACAGAGATATATTTGTATGTGAACTACATTTTTGGAGCACTAAATTAAGACAACTGACTTCTTATCATTGTCAAAAGTGAATGGGTTCACATCCAGAGAAACCCACAAACCTGTCATTGAGCCTTTCCAAGATGTAAGAGCCCATTCCTGATCCTGTACCACCGGCGATGGAATGGCACACAACAAATCCCTGAAAATGAAAACAGTACTGTTACAGAAAACAGCCTGTATTTACCATTCTTAATGTGTAGGCAGGGGGTCTTCACACCTGAGGATTTAGGGTTCCATAGTATGTTTTAGAGTTCCATAGTATGTGCTGATGCCACAGACTGTGCAGGTAAGGATTTAATTTTTGCCTCATACAGAATAAAAATCTCCAATCTTACAGAGGATTTGAACCTGGGTCTCCTGCTTGAGAGCCCAGTGCTTTCAACCATTCACACATACCAATAAAAACAAATAACAGCATTCACTTAACTAAAGGGAGAAGCTGTGATGTAGCAGCTAGATGTGCATCTGAGGATGTGAAGGTCGTGGGCTCGATTCCGAATGGAGCCAGACACTTTTTTTCTTCAAAAAATGACCCTGACCCAGGTTTACACAACTTTAAATGGGTACCAGGTAAAGTCCTGGGAAATAAAGAAAGGCAGCTGGCGTGATGCTGACCACATCACCCACCAACTGCTGATTGGACTGTAAAATTTAGGTCTAGCCCTATATGCTTAAAGAAAAGAAAAGGGTCCTTTACTTTTTACTTTACTTTCAAAAAGAGGCATAGACTTACTTTCTTAAAACATACAATTAACAGACATACGATTCTCAAAATAAAAATAAACAAATTTTGAAGATAACATACAATATATGACACATGTTTGTGAGAAAACAGAGCCACTTTGAACAAGTATACCTCTAAACTGTCACTGCCATCAGCTTCTCTGTCAATAATATCAAAAATTTCATCATACAGCCTCTCTGCCTGGAAAATAAAAACAAATAAAAAAGTAGTTACTTGCATAGATTTCTCAATAACCAATACTAAATTACATTCAATACGTTTAAAAAAAAACAGAAAATAAGAGATAGAGAGATCCTTGTGATGCCATAACATACAAGGCATACACCCAAACAGGAGAGGGATGTTCAGCAGGCAGTAGACCAACAAGATCAGAGAAATGCTACACTAATAGACAATAATAGTGTTTATGGTTGGTTGAGGTGGCAACAACGGCAAGAAACAGAGCTATATATATATATATATATATATATATATATATATATATATATATATATATATATATATATATATATATATATATATATATATATATATATATCCCTCAAAGTGATATTTACTGAAGCAATAAAACAGGAAATAAAGAAAAAGGAAGAATCCTCAGAAATGGTCAAACAAGTTAAAAAAACAAACATGATTTGTAGCAACATCACTAATAAGAATGGTCTTGGTCATGAGTATGAACATTTATACAGAGGATCTGGACAAGATTCGGCTCAGGGGATTAGTTTATTTTTAATCAGGTTGCAGACGGCACTAACAGTATGTAACCCTTCGCTGACTACTGAGGTAGAAGACAGAGCAGGCAGAATATCCCAATTGTTGCCAAATTCTTGGTTTATTCCTTCAATAATCCATGTTGGCTCTCTCCGTACAACTTGGCTGAATATTGATGCATGATAATCAGATGTAGTAAGTGCTTTGTCGAAGAAAGTGTACAATTTGGAGGAGCAAATAGACCACCAGTCTGGTAAGTGGGGAGTGATGAGGGGATCTGGCTGAGACTCGACACACAGAGAAAAAGCAAAACGGACGTATAATCAGAATGCTACTAGCATCATTGGTGTTTAAACTTTGCTAAAGATAGGGAAAAAGCACTTAAGGGAGTGCCCTGAGTGCTGTAATGTCAATTCTTGAATCAAATCAACTCAGCTCAACTCCTTCAACAATCATACTTCTCCCCACCTTGCAATCTGTAGTATAATATACTAACTCACACGGTGACACGTTTTTTTAATGCCATGAAAGAAAAGCCGTCAGGCTGAACAAGTAAATACAGTAATACCTGTGCATAACCACTGGCCCAATTATTTCCGGCTCCACCACCATGACTAGAGAGGTAGACATTTTCAGGATTGTACAGTTTGGAGTAGGGTGAGTTCATGATTGAATTAATGACACGAGGCTCCAGGTCAAGCAATACCGATCTTGGGATGTAATGTTCATCATCAGCCTGTGTAAAATATAAAACATACATCAATGCACGTACAAGCATAGGTAGGTGTCCTCATACAGCAAATAACGCTGCCATACACTGCCATGACTGAATGCAATTACCACTTTGGTGGTATAGGCTGATTGGGGGAAAAAATGGGGGAGGGGGGGGGAGCGTGGTGTTTGGGGTCTTCGAGAGTGAGGATTTAGGGTCACATGGCTAATGCAGTCGCCATGGACTGTGCAGGTTAATTTTTTCCCCCCGACTGAAAAAGAAAAAATTCCTCAACCTTACCAAGGATCTAAACTCGGGTCTCCTACATGAGAGTCCTGTATTCTTAACCGTTCCTCAATGATACTACACTGTTCCATTACTCCTAGGGATAGCACACATTTTCAAAAGACCATACAATCTCTTGGTAATCATATTTTCTCTCCAGTCTTCTGTCTAGAGTAATGTAAATCCTTTCTAAATAGATATCTTCCATGCCACGATACCAAACTATCAACTATCTTTTCTCTTAGACTTCCTTTGCATCTCTGAAAGGTAGACTAAGACATTCTACGCCTTAGAACAGGACATAATCGACTTCGCAGGGACATGTACACAAAATTTAAAATCAGCCAATTAGCAATGTGCACATGTAGGTTGGCACCTGAGACAACAGATCATATCCTCCAAGACTGTCCCAAATACAACATATCAAGGCAAAACTTTTGGCCAAGAGAAACATTGGTGCAAGTCAAACTTTACGGGTCGTTAAGTGAATTACAAAAGACGGTGAAGTTCATACTTTTTATCTGTTCTTTACGTCCTTTTTAGTACGTAATTTTTAGTTATTTGAAGCCCCACTCTGGCTTTTGCCAGGGGCCGCAATATAGGCAGGCCATCAATATGGCCAATTGTCTGAACGCGGTTTCTGGGACCTCTCCACGGTGATCCTCATCCACATGGTGGCACTTTGTGTCAACGGGTGTTTATCGCTTGTGTGATGTCCTAGTGGGGTAGAAATTCAGTTAGTCAGTCATACTAGAGGCAACACTGCAGATATAGATAATCTATTTTAAGTGAATGAAAGAAGAGGAAGAAGAATGTAAGAAGGGCCTACATAAACAATTCTTTAACTTCCGAAAATAAAGTTCATTCATCAGCTCTCATTCAATGTCCCCACACATGGCATACTTGAGTACATTGTCTTGTGATGGAGGTAATATGTAATCTTCATAGTTTTCTTTTCACTTTTTATTTGTCCATGATGTTCTTTTCATCAACATTATAAATCACAAACCCTTTCTGTATTTTATGTGGTTATTTAAAAAAAAATGTTAACTCCTCTAAAACTGTGACCCCTACACAGGTTAAACTTTCAATTACCATTCAGGCAGCAATCTTTAATTTAATTGTTACCATAACGGTCTGCTTTATGCGTATTTTTTATTACAAAAATCAGTAAAAGTACATTTTTGCTGGAGTTATATTCCTTTGAATATGTATATTTTTTATTACTTTCATTAAAAGGGTTATTTAAAAAAAATTATATTTCATTATTATATTCCCTATAACCACATTCATATATGTGAGACAACACATCTGTCTTCCACACAACTGTTAAATACTGGTTATAGTATAACAGGGGATGCCTCGGGTGCGCTTAGGGGCGATGACTAAAGATACGATAGTGGTGGAGACAAAGATGAAAGAGAAGATGGGATATTAAGAATAAGGTTTTAGTTAGACCATATTTCCACTTGGCTTATATATAGAGGCAGAAAAGAGGTAGAGGACAGGAGAATAATACTTTTTTGCACTATCCAGGGAAAAGCCAGGAAATCAAATTTAGTTCTTCTATAAATTAACATTATCACTATATATTTAAAAGATATTTATTTATTTCGGATCTGCCTTTTTAGAATAATGGTATAGATATATAGCCTCCAAAGACAATTGCGGCCAAGAAATACAATGTATTCTTCTAGAGTACATCCACATTTCAAAGGCATGAAATGAAGTTTAAAATTCCTTGTTTACTGATTAAAATAAAACAAAATCCAAACATACAATTTAAAAAAAAATTAAAAAATGTTTTTTAATTTACCTGGGGTAAATTACAGGACCTACTTTCCTCCTAAGAAATGAAACTTTTAATTAAAAACTTTATATGACTGGTAGAATTAGTACTTATACAGATTTAATTGCTGTTTGATTTTAAAATAATATTTAGCAAAATAAATTTTGCCAACAGATTTTTACTACTGACAGAGTTCAGTTTGTTAAAGTACAGACATTCTGAAAAAGAACCAGCTGTACTTGAGACCCTGCTGCTAAAGGTAACATATCAAAGATTGTAATTACCTGGTAGAAGAACACATCTTTACGATCAGTGCCTTCAGTTGCATACTCTTCCAGAATTCCCTCTGAAATTAAATACACTAGGTATAATAACAAAAAATAACATATCTTAAAGTTAAAGTTTAAAGGAACAAATTTACTGCACTGGGTGGTGTATCCCATACTGCTCTGTCTTTTTCGTCAGAATGGCTTGCTACTTGCTGACAGTATGAAAATGATGTATCTCACTTTTTATTCTTCTTCTTCTTCGCGTTCACCAGCTGTAAACTCTGGCGGAAGGTTCTGGTTGCTTGTCTATTACTGAACTGCAGTCCTGCTCCAGAACCTGAGTGTTGCGTGTGCATCAGTTTTACAGATCTCATTCTCTTGAATACAGACTGTTGGTTCCTTGCCTCTCCGGCAGACGCACTCCGCCTTCAAAGGAAGCTCCCCAATTAGTTGACTCTTACAACATGCTTTTGGGGAGGCAGTGGGTCTATTCTTGTTTTCCCCACAATGGGGCCCCGGAACCCACACAGGGGTCACTTTTTATTAATAAACAAGGTCTACACCTACTGGATAACTGGAAGATTGCTGGAAGGAAATATTTTTATACATCCAAAAAGGAGAAAGGTGAGATGACAGTTTAGAAATGGGATTTAAATTACCTGTTTAAGAATCTCCTCTCATGAAAGAAATAGACCACTGTATTTAGACTGCAAACTGTAGACACAACAGACTCGACTGCCGTATGTACGAGAAATGCAAGTGACTCAAAACTCTGCCCATGCAGATAGGTGCCAAAGAATACTAAACATGTGCTATATTCACGCTCTCTACACACAAGAGAGAGAGATCCAGCGTCTGGTCAGTTGGCATTCTGGTGGAAACAAAGCTGTATGGTTCAGGGAAGGACATGCATCACACCACAACCTTGACAGAAGCCTGTGGCCTTCTCCTCAGAAAACTACTGGCAGGGAGCATGAACAAAGAAGAGACCATTGGCCATATTATTCACTGTGTGATAACCCAATAATTTTATCCAACAATCAGGATACCATGGGTGATAAGGTCATTATCATGGTGGGGTCATTATTTTGAAAAATATCTCTAGGTATCTATTTTAAGCTGGGAGAACCTAGTAAACCCAGGTCAATAGATAAAATCTGCTTCAATTAAGACTTGTACCAAATATTACATCTGATACCGTTACTCCCACTTCGTAAAAACTGTCTTTTTTACACCTTCAGTTTCCACAGAAAAAAATGGCTGTCACCCAAAAAGAGCAATAAATGATGAAGAAATTGAAAATGTCACAAACTTTAAATATCTAGATTCTATAATAAAGATTGTCTGACGGAAATCAAAAGAAGGATAGCCATAGCAATGCAGAGATTTAATAGCATTAAACATCTTTGGTTAAGCACTAGCTAGGAAATTAAAAATTTTGAGAGCATACATCTTCCCTGTAGCAACACGAGTTGCAGACTATCTCCCAGATAGGGGCTTTTGAGCTAAAATGCTTTAGAAAGATCAGAATATAATGGACAAAGAAGAGAAGAAATATTGACATTTTAAAAGATCCGAATATCAAGGAAGATTGACTAATAAACAGCATCTTGTCTCGGAAGCTGAAATATTTTGGTCTTATCAAGTGCCATGGCAGACTAGAAAAAGTAATCGCAGAAGACACGGTACCAGGATGGAGGGGCAGGGGATGACCAACATGAAGATGGGCACAGGATATAAGTGACTCCTTGAATGGGAAAGTGCACAAGGTGGGAGAGCTGGTGAGAGACGTGAGTTTCTTCCAGGCAGACTGTGATGACAGTGACGTTCTGCAAAAAACCTACTACATGATGATGATGATATTTATGTACTGTGCTGATGAAGGCTCTCTTGCTGCAGCGCTCAACTGTCTGTGTTAATTTGAAGCTGACTGGTTCTACTTTTCATTGTGTTTGACATCTTGTCAGGCCATCAGCATGCAACAGACACTGACAATGATACAAGTAAAAAGTAAGTAAAGGACCCTTTTCCACACCGTTCAGGCGTGTATATAGGACTAGACCTATATTTTATAGACCAAACGGCACTTGGTGAGTGATGTTGTCAGTATCACACTGGCCACCTTTACTTCCCAGGACTGTACCTAGTACCATCTCAAGACTGGGTTGACTTGGAAGCCAAAGTTACTTTTGAAAAAAATCCAGCTCACAACCTTCCAATCCGCAGCCAAACGTCTAGGTGCTAGACCACGGCGGCTCCCAATGATACAAGGGCATAATGTATTACATTCATACATTAAACTGTTTAGCTTTTCTGTGAATCCTGTCAAAATATATATCCACGCTTGAAGAACAAAAGCTTGCTTCAGCCCGCCAGTACTAACCGCCGCAAAGACAGGAAGTCATCCAGAGCACAATTAGAAGGGGGTGAAATGTTTTGGTCAGGAGAAGTAATAAAGATTAAAAGAACTCAATAGAGAGATACAATGTTTCTACAGAAACTTGTAAACCAGTGATTCCCAAACTTTGTGCAGCAGCGCCCCGGGGAGCCGCGACCTCTTCCCAGGGGCGCCGCAAAACATTAGAAGATACACGAGTTTTATTCTTTTTTTCTTTTCATCTTTTACATACAAGTAGTCCTACTTTTACTTAGGTTAGGGCACCATGGAAAAATGTTAATTGAAAAAAGGTGCTGCGACTAAGACAAGTTTGGGAAACACTGTTGTAAACTATTTCAATGGAAAAAAGTCCAGGATTTCCATGTTGAAAACATGTCCAGCAATATTATGAACTGTTCTCAACAACAACATAGAGAGAATCACTGGCTGGGTGGTCAGACCTATGGGCACTCTTGCAGGAGACCAGGGTTTGATACACAGTAAGGAATGAAATGTTTCTGTATGTGGCAAAATTATAAATCCAAACCTGTACAGTCCACTGCAACTAGCCATGTGGTCTCAGGCTCATGAACTCCCGTCCTACACTGCCATAAAAGTGGTAAATAAATGAATGAATGAATCAATGACTAAACTAAGAAAGGATATCCCTGCAATGAGGACATTCCTACACATTCTCCATCTCCTTCCTCAGGAGCCAATGAACAGTCGACATGCTGAAAAGTACCAGTTGCAATCCAACTAAATGTTTGCCTATGTTTTCCCCTCAGTGTTGAATATCTGCCAGACTCTCTGCCCCCCACCTGAAATTGTCAGTGTTTGGATACTCGGTCTGTTCTGTTGCAGTGTCCACCTGATCCCAGACAGCCTTCACCACATCCACTTTATCATAAAGTAGCTCCCCACTAAGAGGAGCTGCACTAGCCAGTCTATCAACCTGTTGATTAACCCTTATTATCCTGGACAGAAAATCCCTGACCGCAAAGACAGTTCTCCAATTTATGTCAATTCTAGTAGCATTTTGTTTTTCCTAGCGACCTGTTTGGCTGGAGTTTGCTTTCAATTGTTAACACCTCACACACCATCAAGCAAACATATTCAAACAATGAAGACAGTTGAAAACCTACCTGGGCTAATGCCATGCTCTGCACACAGCTGTTTCCAAAACTCCATGCCAACTAGAGATATAAAACAATAACAGATCCATGTTTTTCCACCAGTAATAAGTCAATTTAAAACATCAGTAATGAATATATATAACAGCCATAACAAAGTAAAGGTCCCTCTTTCACACCTTTAGGCGTATAGGGCATATAGAGCTAGACCTATATTTTTACAGACCAATCAGCACAAGATAGGTAGTGTGGTCAGCATCACGCCGGCCGCCTTTACTTCCCGGGACTGCACCCGGTACCCACCCACGGCTAGGTCGACTTGGGAGTCAAGGTCATTTTTAAAAAAAGCCAGACTCCACCAGGGAGCGAACCCACAACCTTCAGATCCGCACGCGAACGTCTAGCCGCTATGCCACGGCAACTCACACATCCATAAGGCTTTTTGATTTACTAAAGTGGATAAAACATTTAAGCAAAACTGACACCGAATAAAGGTATTCCCTACGCCAGATTACTGTGTAGGGGGTTAAAATATTATATCACATACTGGTAAAAAAAAAATTAATCATCGTGCCTAGGTTGACCCAGCCAAAATTGAGTACCAGGCCATGGCTTGAGAAGTTAAGTCAGTCAGCGTGATGCCAACCACACCACCGATCAGTGATGGCTGGTCTATAAAAAATATGAGACTAGTATCATATGCTAGATGAGACGATAGCACAATAAGGGATTTTATTTTACTTAACTTATACACTGTGAAACATGGAATACCAAGATCGGGTAATAGATTCCTTTTGGCATTACTTTGAACGGTGACCCTAGGGGGATGTAATCTATTGTAGCTTGACATTACTTTAACTACAGACTAGGGGATATAATCCATTCTTAGTTTAAGTTCACATAATAATAATATTCTATGATATTTAATATTGTTTGAGATTAGGGGTTGGGTTAGGATTATGGTTAGAATTAGGGCTAAGCCTAACCCAAACCCGAAGCAATATTAAATATTACTTACAGAACATTATTTTTGTGAATGTACACAATTGATGTATAGTCTTCCTTATGGTCGCCGTAAACGAACAGTAGATTGCATCCTCATTTTCCTAGAGTCGCCATTGGAAGGAGTGCCTACTTTTCTCTTCCCCCTTTTTTCTTTCTAAGGCGACTGCTTGAAAAGTTTAGAGTAACTCTACCAATTTTATGACACTGGGTTGACCCTATAGCTGCACTGGATGATAAACAAAAATATGGAAATATATAATCTATGCTACTATTTTGGTAAGATTACAGAAACGTAGGCTATCTTCTGAATAACGGTCCCAAATTATCGAGGCCAAAAATATACCCTAACAGGGCCTCAGTCATGTGTCAATTGCGGACTCCCAGCGACTTAAATTGCGTACTTCTGACGACTACCGCTGACAGCATCTCACACGCTGCTATGTGCGGCGTGGATTGAGGATAAACTAGAAGGCTGGGACACATGAGCAGCAGCTTGCCAGCCATCTAGTTTAGCCCCAATCCACGCAGCTGGTAGCGGCGTGGAGGATACTCTCGGCGGTGGCGGTAGTCGCCGGAAGTCGGCAAATTAAGACGCCAGAAGTTTGGAATTTACATGTGACTGAGGCCATGTTTTTGGCCGCCATAATATATGCCCGTTATTCAGAGGATAGCCTAATTAACAGTTATCAATATGCTCCATACTATAATGTAAAACATCTTTTCTTGTGCCTTTTTCTTTAACACTACTACACTACCACTACCCTCCCATGGCTTAACCAACTCATGCAAGACTATTCACTGCTGCTTCCCAATATATGAATATTGAATAAACTATAAAGAATATCATATCATCCCTCGGTTTTTAATGTAAAAAAGAAAGCAAGCAAGACGTATACACATGTCACAGTTACATTAACGATTTCAAGGAGTAACAAATAAGTTAAGTAAAACTAAGTGAGAAGAAAATAAAATGAGTAATGAGATTTTTGTTGTTTTGTTTTGTTATTTTGTTCGAGCGCAACTGCCAACTTGAACTTCATCTCAAATCTCAAAAGTGAGCGAGTTCAGTGTAAGTGTAAGTGCGAAGTCTTAGTCTCTGCTGTTTGAATGAAAATAAAGTTGCATTTACAAAACAAAACATAGAATTCATGAATAATTACTTTGGTTTCCACATTGTCCGAGCTGTAATGTTATTATTTCCCTGGGCATCTTCAAAGAAGTTCTGAAACATAAAATGTTGCCAAAGAGATATGTTCTAACAAGTGCTCCAAAATTTGTAATGGAATCAATTGAGCGGTTGTTTTTATCATCCGTCTTATAATCGTTTCGCTATTTCGACTTTTAATTCTCTTTTTACAGTAGTAGTGGCAGTAATATTAATAATAATAGCACATAATCCACATTAATTTTAATCAAGAAGGCACACTAACGTCTGATAGAGGACACACACACACACGCATATATATATATATATATATATATATATATATATATATATATATATATATATATATAGTGTGTGAAAGAGAGGGAGGGAATAATGAGATTGTGCAAACGTTTACTGAGTCTGGATTTGTTATGTACTAGTGGGGTGGGGTTGGGGGGTGGGTGTTTGGGGTGCCAGATGTTGGTAGTAACTCATATGTTGGGGGCCTGTCATGTCCGTTCCAGAACAGCTCATCTGCCTTTGGGCCTTTGGCATTCAGCTCTCACCTGTGGCTCCTAGTAGCCGCCTTCGAGCGGTAGCGGCCACCTTTTCCCTCTTCGCGCAGCGGCTTTGATAGGCTGGCTAAACCAGTTAAGCGTAAGGGTAGCCAAATGATTAAGCCTTCGGTGAGTCAGGATCTGCCTATCCAAGCATGCAAAGACCGGACTCGGCTGAATGTGAGCTGGAGATCAATACTTAGTTAAACAGACCTGATGGCGAGTGCAAGCAACGCGCTGTGGAGCGCAAAGAGCACAGTGAGAACACCCTGGTCATCCACTGCAACTGAATTCATGTCCAGTCGCCTCGATTTGTCTTGCCACTGGATTCAGATGGACACAGGCGAGAGATTGAGGTCGACGAAATTGTGCAACCTTTCCTCAATTTAAACCAATTAGTCGCTCAGGTGACTCTTTCATAAATTTCACCCAAGGTCATTTACCCACGGACACTGTTTCCTGCCCTGCCTGCCCTCGTTGTCCTAGACCCTTCTGGAACCGTATTGAACGTATAAGTCACCTCCGGACTCACATATAATCAATTATAGTTTCATGACGGATGAAAGATAGAGTGGTCCTTATCACTTGTAATGGACGAACAACAACAAAACTTATTCACCGCTTCCTAATTTGCTACAGTTTCTATAAGGAGCTATTTAGGGGGGGGGGTGTAAGGATAATATGTCTGCTCTTTCCAATGGTTGTGAAAGTTGGTCTTTGTTTCTCCAAGGTTGTTCTTTATGCAATTTCCTCATCTTTTCGTGATCTGCATTTGCCCTGTTCCCCGTGTAGCTTCCGTGGCCCTATTCTGGATTATGGGGAAAACAAAAACAAACCCACTGTCACCACAACAAGCAAGTCGTAAGAGTCGACTAACAGGTTTGGGTGGGGGGGGGGGGGAGCCTTCTTTTGAAGTCGGAGTGCATCTGCCTGAGAGGCAAGGAACCAACAGTCTGCAAACAAATAAGTCAGATCAGTAAAAATGGACGTGCACGCAACACTCAGGTTCTGGAACCAAACTAAAGTCCAGAGGTGGACGAAGAACCATAACTTTCCACCGGAGTTTACAGCCGGTGAACGCCAAGAAAAGGTAGAAGATCTTCTCAGTTGGTACAAGGAGGACACTTTCGCTAGATGACTAAACCATCAAATATGTTCTCTGTAATAAACTTTTAAACTGGTTTCAGGACTAGTCTTCTTCAACTTTCTTCATTTTCAGTTTTATCTCGTCTTGTCACCCTAGCGAATCATGTCCATCCCAAAAACACAAGCCCAAGCCCAAAAACAGGTTCCCGAAAGTACAATAAAAGTGTCATCTGAATTGATCTCAACATAATGAACTCTCTGAGAACTATGTCATTACATATCCGAAACATCCATTTACAAAAACTATATTTTTTATTATTATTAAACAAAACATACCCTAGAATGGGTAAATAAACACTATCAGTTAGTAGCAGGGAATTTACATATCTAACAAAATACTTAGTTAATATGAAAGCAGCTACCCACAATTCCCCGCCTACGTCTGACAATAATGTAAACAATAATAGACCAGACAAACCCAGTGGCCCTCCGTCCTCCCAGCCCGATTTGACACATCGCTCGTTAATTTCTCTTAATTACATCGCTGCTTCGGTCCTAATAAATGAGAGTATTATTCATGTACACCAGCAATAATGTCTGATTTACCTGACTATGGCGGCGGAGGAGATGAGTGGGGAATGGAACGGAAACTTGTTACTCTTCTTGGACCCTATGAGTCTCTGATCATGAAGTGCCAGAGCTTGTTGGTCTGGGAGTCTCCTTGGCGAAGTGCCGTTCTCTTTGTTATCATACACCTTATATTTTGGTTTGTATTTCAGCTACTTTGTTTGGATGTACAATTTAATGATTGTCATGAGAAAAGAAACCAATATTACCGTGAAACGTGAGAAAGGGGCACTTGGAAATATATTTTAAAATATATTGAATTATTGATAAGGAATTAAGATTTGACGCAATGAATGAGAATGGACAAATTAATATTATAATATAATGTTGGGGATATATATATATATTTTTTCTGATCACTTTATATAAATAAATATATAGGCTCTCCTCCGAACTTCTACCCCCGCATTATGGCGGCCTGAAATATCCGTTCGGGGCTCAGTGCAATGAAAAATTCGGACTTTCTGCCAAGGAACAAATCGCGGCAAAACTATGATTACTTAACAATTTCAAGAGACGCAACATTGCAGACGATAGTAGCAGACGATAAAAGCGACCAGTGACAATGTCGAGCGTTTCTGCAGACGATAAAAGCAACCATTGACAATTTCGAGACATTACAGACGATGAAAGCGACATGGCGGGTAGACCACGCGCTCCCACGCAGATTAGCAATACTGTTCTTCCGATTGAGGATTTAGCAGCGGTAGATGTCAGACTTGTTGGCATGCGCAAAACGCTATTAAACTCACCGCTGAGCGTATCCCCCGCGCCGCTACGCGCAGCGCGGATGAAAGGCTAAACTAGGTGCCTGGGACTCACGAGTAAAGTAATTACAGGAAGTTGCAGGAGATGCGGTGTCAGGTAATCGGAAACAATAAGAAACAGGTCCGCAAGTAATATCGCTGAGACCCTGTTAGAGCATTTGTTTCGTTATACGGAGCCGGCATAGTTTAAATAGAACTGAGCCCCGAACGGATATTTCAGGCCGCCATAATGCGGGGGTAGAAGTTCGGAGGAGAGCCAATATATATGTATGTGTATATACAATATTCAGTGTGTTGTGCTATTATATAAACGAGTGCACAGTTGTTGACAGTTTGAGTTACACTGTTTCTCTATGAAATAATAATTTATTTAAAGATTAATAATATTTATTTTACTCTGCATTTAGTTAGATAGCTTTATGCTTTCTTCTTCTTCTTCTTCTTCGCGTTCACCAGCTGTACACTCTGGTGGAAAGTTCTGGTTGTTCGTCCTCTTCTGAACTGCAGTCCTGCTCCAGAACCTGAGTGTTGCGTGTGCATCAGTTTTACAGATCTGATTCACTTGAACCAGACTGTTGGTTCCTTGCCTCTCCGGCAGATGCACTCCGACTTCAAAGGAAGCTCCCCAATTAGTCTACTCTTACGACATGCTTTTGGGTAGGCAGAGGGTCTATTCTTGTTTTCCCCACGATGGGGCCCCGGAACCCACACGGGGAGCTTTATGCTTTGTTTATGTACTCCCTCCATAATTTATAACCAAGATATATATTTTCTTTAGTATGCAAATTATGGTTAGTCTGTTGACATACAAAGATGTTAAAAAACATATTTGCATATAATTAATAACGTTTTTATAATATATCAGTTATTATCTTTACTATGAAGGTGAAGTAATAATGAAGTAATATAAAAACTGCCAGTTTTTTGAGTCACTGCTGTTTAGGTACATCATCAGTATTTAGTTACTGAATGTCCTTGCACTGAAACACACAGAGCCAAAGACATAAAGTAAGAAAACACACACCTGTCATGCGTGTGCATTTACGCAGCACGGGCGCACACACACACATACAGAAAATTAGGGACTAAGATTAAATAGATACACAGATCAAGGGCCATGTTATACTGCTTGGCAAGATCAAAAGCATAAACATCATTCTCATGTTTGGATTTTATTTTGATCTTCATTTCTACTGAAATACTCTTAAGCTTCTTGACATCACTGTCACTAACACATTTCACTTTATTGGGAGCCATAATGAAGGTTAATTAAAAACAAAAGGGGAAACAATCAAGAATAACGCAATGACAAGGCAATGTTCGCAGCAGACCTACTTGAGTACAAAAGATGCTGTTCACATGTCAAAAATGTGCGCCAAAACTATGTTCATGCATTTGTGCGCAGAGGTTCCCACAAGGCACTAACCACGTCTGCCTTATCATGTATCAGTATTCCACCAAGTTGTGCAGAGCCAGCCAGTCTGTCCGCCTGTTCATTTCCCAACACACCGGCATACCCCGGTGAAAAAATCCAGGCAATACTCCTCACTCATGTCCTCCGCAGCGAAGCATGCCACTCTGCATGATGCATACCTGTTCTGATATTCCTCAGCATGCTTTCTGAATCAGTTACATTCACGATATGTGTGTGTGTGTCGTGTTCTCTAGCGCAAGCACTTCTTTTATCTCTTGACACTGAACCGCCTGTGTAAATGATCAAATCCTCTGAGCGAGCATTATCTTAAATTAATTGCTGAATTGGTGCAACCCAGAATGACCCGCATAGCCGCGTTCTGTATGCGCACAGAGCAGAGCTGTATGATAATAATTATAATACTAATACAACAAATTAAAAAAAAAAAAGTACAAATAATGAAGCTAACAATGGGAAACATATTTATTTTAATTAAAAAATATATGTTATTACTGTTTGTATGTTTTTTTAATGTTATAGGTGTATTTGTACATCTTCATCAAGATTCTTCTTCATCCTGAGTGTGACGGCTATGTTTATAGTCTTCATTGATACTTGGAAAAATAAAATATGGCCAGAAATAAGAGGTTTGAACCAATTGCTTTATTTTAGTTTAATATAACTTTTCTCTTCTTTCGGTTCTTGGTTTGGAGCAGACATGTGTGTTAATGACACCTCGCACTCATAAATTAGGTATTAGCCAAATGTGTCTCTGCCAGTGTCTTCGTGCTGAACAGACCCCAGAACATTTCTTGCAAGACTGTCCTTTCTTGGCAGAGCTGTAAATTAATATGTGCCATAATCCAGTAGACCTGATAACTAGGCTTTGGGGAAACCTAAGAGACCTACAAACACATTTTATGAATTGGTTATTTAGAACACAAAACTAAAAAATAAGTCAGAGACAAAATATACCAATTTGCGGGACATCAAGAGCCATCCCACTTTATGGCCCACAGTGGGTTAAGCGCATAACCAGAGATCTCTGAAGAAGAATGACACTTCAATTAATTCCACAAACTGTGTTGCCGGAAACTACAAACACCTGAACACATACTGCAGAACTGTCCCCTGCAGCAAAACCTATCAGAAAACATGACCAGAGGGAAGAGGCATCCAGGACAAGCTTTAGGGAACCTTGGAGGCTGGCTGCTAACGTGTCGGTTCATGGAGGCAACACAACTGATAACCCGAGCATATGAAACTGATTGCAAAGAAGATGAAGAATGATCCTATAGGGCAGTGACTTTCACCCTTTTTAATGCCACGACCCTTTAATACAGTTCTTCATGTTGTGGCAACCCCCAACCATACGATTATTTTTGTTGCTACTTCATAACTTCAATGAAAATGTGTTTTGAGATTATTGTTGGCAACTTCTGTAAAAAGTTCGCTCGACCCAAAAAAGTGTCATGACCCACAGGTTGAGGACCACTGCTGTAGGGGAAACAGTGATAATGAAACTAACCAATCACAAATGTTATAATAGATGACTACGATGGATTAGCTTGTGGGTTTCTGAGACAGGCCACTATATCCTTTCTACATGGTGAAGAGAATTAAGATTGTTTTTTTTTAGAAACAGGATTGCAGTCTGTAGGATTAACATCTAAAGGATGAGAATCAAACAGGTACAAATCCTCGAAACCCGGTTCTGCCTAATAACCTTATAGTTATATTGAGGCACCACAAAATGGTTACAAAGTAACATGTAGTCCAGTGTTAGCTGGTTGTATTTTGAAGACAAGAGATAAATAATATGGGGAAAATATGGAAGGAGCTGCTGTGTGGCTTGGTGTGAACAAGCAATCTTCATTTTCAAAGGGTCACAAATTGGGCATGCAGGTCCCTCTTATATTCGGCCCTTCTAGAACTCATCTTTCAGAGTACCAATGCATGTTATCAATAAGGCATGTTATGTTTATACATGTATATATATATATGTTTATATGAGGTGATTTTTTAATTTTTTTAAAGTATCCAGAAACCATGAGTTGTTAACCCTTTGGCTCGGTACTATGGATATAGCAACCCTTCGGCCTTGATTCCATTATAGGTACTGTTAATCTGGGAGAAATGTGGCTCCTACCCCAGGGACCACAAGGAAAAGAAGTATCCATGTTTGTGTGTACTTTCCAGCAGAAAACGCGCATAACACAGGAGGTAAAGTTCTTGAGAAAGGCTGCTGGGTGTACTAGAACAGGCAGTGATAGATGTAACATCATGCTGTGAATTAGTTGGGAAACAACATTTACAGTAGTCAGTCGGTCACATGAAAATGATACCCAAGTGGTCAAGGTTGTGGGTTCATTTCACAAACTGTATCCTTTAGTTCATGAGTGAAATTTTATGGAAAGCCAACATGATCGTTGCTAAAGCTGCAGAGTTTGTGCTCAGTGTGATGCTCTCGGCTGGTGGCTAGCCGTTCTGCAGGGGAAGACCAAGCTGTATAGGACAAAACCAGATGTAGTGTAGTTGATTCTCAGTTTTGGTATCTAGCTAGAAGGAACCAAGAAAATAATGGATGGATAAATTCTAGGATGAACCTAACAAGAACAGGTGTTACGTTAACTAAAGCATTAGCTTGCCTCACTTGATAAACCTCAGACCAGGAACATATCATGGATTCTATGTCCAGGATATTCAGGTATGTGAGGTAACGAGCAGGCTGATAGATTAACTGTTGCCGCTTCTCTGGGCGGTGAGCTACTTACTTTATGAGAAAGCGGACATGGTGAAGGCTGCCTGAGATCAAATGGAAGTGCAATAGAACAGACAATGAATCCATACATTAAAAGACTGATTCAGTGATTAAATGAGAGTTGAGTAGACGTTCTAGAAGATATTCAACACTGAAAGGAAAACATTGGCAGACTTTTAATCAGGTTGCATCTGGTACTTTTAGCATGACGACTCTTCGTTGGCTACTCAAGAAGAGGACGGAGCACATCTGGGAAAGTGCAGTTATGACTGTTCTTGATTTCATATAACTAAAGCATAGCGTTAGATCATACAAATGCTATCCAAAAAAAAAAAAAAAATAGACAACTATTGCACTGATCGTTAAAAAAAACAACCTGGGATTTAGTTATTTCTTTGTATTTTGTTTTTGTTTTCAGTGTTCACTGTTGTTAATAGTTTATTTATTTCCACTAAATTTCAGTTCCACCTAAAGAGCCAGAGGATAAAGATGGGTAATTTATGAATGTTGTATTGTTTAGTTCCCAGGTGAAAGAAAGTATAAGTAAGTTTATAGGAAGATTTGTGGCTTGTTTGTAATTACTACTGTCATTATTATCTTCAAAAATTATATTGTTATTTTTCTTCTGAGAGCATTCAATGGTTTAATATTATTGGTTTACTTTGTTAACTGGGCAGTTTTGAACAGACAAAACAAGCAACCAATTTGCACGTGACTGGATCTCTACTCTCGCAAAATAAAAATAATAACGGAGATTAAAGTTATGCCTGGGTCAGGGCTTGGATGTTTAAACACCATGCTAATGTGGATGACACATTATTGAAACCATAAAAACACCTAAGATCTGCAGCATTTGTTGGGTATTGTAGTAATAAAGTCTGCAAGAAAAGGGCCTCCTTTGAATATTAGGAAAACAGAAGCAATTGTTGCATGAAAAAGTCCTTCCCATGTGCGTTCTGGGGCCCCACTGCAAGAAAACAAGAATAGACCCACAGCCTCCCTAACAAGCACATCATAGAAGTCGACTAATTGGGGACTTTCTTCGAAGTCGGAGTACATCTGCCTGAGCGGCAAGGACCAACTAGCTGCACACAAATAAGTCCAGTAAAACGGATGAATACGTAAAACTTGGGCCTAGGCTCAAAGTCCAAATGGACAAACAACCAGGGCTTTCCGCCGGGGCTTTCAGCTGGTGAACAAAGAAGAAGAAGAACATGAAAGAAAAAATTTAATACCAATAGCTGACATTACAGTAGAAGAGAAAATTTTCAACCAAACCAAAACGTTAGGATATTTGAGTCAGGTGTATACAAAATTAAAGATGGGTGACAGGGATTTGAAAAAGAAGAAGCCAAACAGAAGCCGTGTCTCAGTATCAGAAAAGTAATAAGTCACTTTCATTTAACATCATGAGTTCATCTGCCTGAAAGAAACTTGGTCTGTTAACCAACTCTCACACTTTTGCACTACCCTACCCAAAGTGTCACTTACATCCTTTGTCCATCTTTGTGCTGGTCGGCCCCTGCCTCTATTTCGGGGTACCATGCCATCTGTCAGTGAGTTATGAAATGTAAACCCGTACTTGTGTGAGCCTTGTGAATGAACAAGTTAGGAAGAACTTGGAAGTAAAAGAGATATTGTTTCTGACGTTAATTTTGTGAACATGCTGGACAGTCATGAATATGCTTTACGGTGAGAGTAACAGTTGAATATAACAATCCCAGTAAGCAATCGACATGTTTTAACGAATAACAAACATGATCCTGAGTTTAGGAATGATCATGCATTTTCATTTCCAGAATTGAGCGTCCATTTTGTTTTTAATTAAAACAAGTAAATTACTAAATTGAGATTTATACCTGTAATTTAGTTAGATAAATATACGTTCCTTTTGTTCTGTTTTGACAGAAAATTTGTTCAGAACATTTATTTGTCTATGTGTGTGTCTTTCCTTTTCATTCAGGTTCCTAATTTCATGTTGAATTCATTTGATTTTATGTCAGATGTGTCCACATAAAATCACAGCTGTTGCAGAACCAATTGCAAATGGACATGACATAATCTATTATTTTATGGATATACAAAGAAGAAGTAGGCATTGTGTTTTACTTAAGTAATAAATAGTAAAGTAAAGGACCCTTTTCCACGCCTTAAGGCGTATTAGGCATATAGGGCTAGACCTATATTTTATAGACCAACGGCACAAGATGGGTGTTAATGTTACTGTTGCTGTTAATGCAGAGGTCAACGCTCTCATCAGTGAAAATTCAGACGAAGCAGATGCACTAATCTATACAGACGGATCCGTTATACACTACAGTTTCGACAATTTGCGGTCTTTTCGGCAATTTCCGTTACCCGGAAACCGTTCAGAACTTGTTCGGGAAATCTCGGCTGGTTTCCGTATGGGTCCAAATCTCTCATGAAATTTTGCCATTGGTGGGAATTTGGACCAGCTATAAATAGCTGAAAACAGCGTGGGGGAACCCGATTAACAGCGCATGTCTACGACAGCCAGACGTCCTCTGTTTTTCTGTTAGTCATCAGTTTGATTGAAAATAGCGGTAAATTCGAGGTTGGCTTTAGGCTTTAACTGTTACTCGTCCTGGTATTGCTAGGTATATTTGAATTCTCCGTCCAATTTTACATTTGTGTATAAAATTTCTTTCTGGACGGTGGCTAGGTAGATGTACAGTGACATTTTTCAGGCAATCGCTGGCTCAGCCAGTGGCTGTGTCTCATTGCCTGCCATCTTGTCCAATGACAGTCCAATGTCAACAAAGCCGATACAGAACTGCGCAGTAGGTTGCGCAGTAAAAAACTTCTTCTTTCTGGGTCACATGTTTTGGCAGCTGCTTTCTACATCTCATCTCCACAAAACCTACATATCTCAGCTCAGAAATGACATACAAGCCTAAATGAGGTACCATTGGAAAGAAATTGTTTACAGCTATCTAACTGTGCTGGTTTTATTGGTGTAGAGGGCATTTTAAAAATTTCACTGAAGTAGCTACGTTATACGCCAAAGAAGAAGCGCATGGGCATTTACAGCACGCTCAGCAGGCGAAACAGTCAAAGAAGCCAACGGCGCCTTCTCCATGACAACCAGCAGCATGACGATGGAGGTGATGGCAGTGACGCAAGCGTTTGCCTGGCTTGAAACACAAAAATACACCCGCATATGTATACTCAGTGATTCAATGAGTATGATCCGGAGGGTTCAGGCAGGTTCAGTGCGAAGACAATGGCTTGAATCAATTCAGAAGTCCACTGTGCGAGGAGTCACCTTTATTTTTGTTCCGGGACACGCAGGCGTCGATGGAAATGAAAGAGCTGACAGGTTGGCTGGATCCGCTATCACTACCGACAGTCGGCCTATGGATCATGCTGATATTATCAATGCCCTCAGAGAAATGGGAAGGATAGAGGACTTTGGTGGCAGTGAATCCACATCACTCGCCAGAATGGCAGACTTGGGAATTAAGATCGGCACAGCAAAAAACGAGACGCACACTGGACACGTCAGAAGACTTGTTAATTAACATAGAACTGGTACTATTAGCCATCGGACGTTGGGGTTCATACTGAGGGGAGGATCTGAGCACCTATGGACATGTCCGGAGTGCAATGATGATAACCCAACTAACTAACTAACTAACTAACAAGATGGGTGATGTGGTCATCATCATGACGACCATCCCTACTTCCCGGGACTTAAGTAATAAATAGTAAATATAAAAAAAAATGTAAAGATTGAAGTAGGCATTTAATAAAGATTCACACCCCCCCCCCCCCCCCACCCTCCACAAAAAAAAATGTATAACTGTCCCCATTGCTTGTTTGATTGTTAATTTAAAAGGTGGACCCCAGTTCATCCCCACCTGCTGAGTGTTCCAGAACTGAGCAACCATCTGAGCCGGATGATTCAAAGTGTTGTCAGGACATTCAGGTTTCTACGTGACTGCAGAATGACACACCCTGTTGTGGTAAGGTAGTGGTGTTTCTTTATTATGAAACTGATACATAACGTGGCATTGAGTTATGTACCAACGTTTTTTCTTTATCTTATATAGAGTGACCTGTAGAGATATCTGTCTGTCAATCTCTGCCTGTCTGTCATCTTTTGAGGCCCATGCAGACAGAAAGTATCTTAAAACAAAATGTCGGTTATTTAATGAAAAAAAAAACAAGACAGATAGACAAAGATAGAAATTAACTTGTAAGCATTTTTACTTTACATTTACTCTACACTGCACCACATGTTCTGCAATGTTCCTTTCCTCCCTCTTTATCATTCTGTTAGTAACATGCATGCACACATGCATGCATGCATACCCACACATGCTCACGTACGCACAAACACACATACACAAAGCGAGTCTGTTCCCCTCTATAATTTCTTCTCCTTTTTTTCTCTCATTTCCTGTCTTTCTCTAACCCTGTCCCTCATCTCTGTCTCCTAACCCTGTCCCCTCATCTCTGTCTCACTGCAGACCTCTTTTTTTTACTGGACAAGTGAACATACTTAACTCTTTGAGTCCCAAGGAACGCGTCATACGTTCATAGATTCCTACCTAGAAGCCCAATGAACGCACGATGCGCCGATTTTACGTCTTTCTTGACTACCCCTTAGGCCTGTGATGCTAAACCCCCTGGGACTCAAAGAGTTTAACACATTTACATATTTAGTCAAAATAACTATTTTTGTTTGTTTTTTAATAGTCTATGCCTTGTGGCCTTGATAATTATTTCTTTCCACAGCCGTCCGTTTCCGACTAAAATAATTTCAGAATGCTTGTTTTTTTCCCTTCAGTTTTGCCTTGGAAATACTGCATTTTTTACAATAATGGCTCTTCTTGGCTCCTATTTGTCAGGGATCACACTGGCGTACATAATAAGTAAGTTAAATTCTTCCTCCTTATTTGACCAGCATAAAAATGTGTACAGCATTTGTTTTATTTCTGTGTACGGCAAAGCCATGATATTTTTAAGCAGGTGGATCCAGCCACGCATGCTAGCCCAGACATTTGGCCAGTCTATTACTGACTGTGTAGCTAGTTAAGTATGTGTTCATCATGAGTAAAGTAACCAGAGGGGTTAACTTCTTGGCGTTCACTGGCTGTAAACTCGGGTGGAAAGTTCTGGGTGTTTACAGATCTGGCTTATTTATATGCATATGCAGACTACTGGTTCATTGCCTCAGGCAGATACACTCCGACTTAGAAGGAAACACCCCTGATTAGTCGACTTTTACTCCTTGTGTGGATTCAAGGTCCCCATAGTGAGGAAAACAAGAACAGACTCATCCCCCGACCCCCCCCCCCCCCCCCCCCCCACAAGCTCTCGTCGACTTGAATGATGACTGACCTTCTGTTAGCATCAAATCCTCCCAACTGAGGGTTGGTAGTTATCACACAGGTGTGATAGCTGAAAGTAGTGATTGTAGTTCACAATAGTGCTCCAGCTTGTCAGCCTCTCGACAAACATGACCTATTTCAATTTCACATCAAACAACCAGTAAAACATCATCATCACTATTTTTTCAGTTGGAGGTTCGCAACTGGCAAAGAATGAACCTGTTTGTACGCTGCAGTGAATATTACAGTTATAACAATGCCATGAGAATCTATCACAACAGTCCAAGGGCAAGACTGACGACATCGGATGTTTGCAAAAAGAACATTCTACTGTGTTTCATATTAATCTGTGTGTAGCAAGCCATTGCAACCACTATAGTTTGTTTTTTATTAATATATATAAGTCGGCAGTTCTAACATCTACAGCCGCCAGTTCATCAGTCGGTAGAACATTATTGCTAATCTGTGTCGGAGCTGATGGTCTGCCTGCCATATTTGCCGGATAAAAATCCTAATTGTACACATCTTTGTGGCCCTGTAGGGGTAGGTTTTTGACATAGATAATTTAGGGTCGTTATTCGGAGGAGTGTAGAGACAGCAGAGAGCTCTTCTAAAATATAGTGATAATTTTAAATCAAGAATGCTGGCTTCCATCCACAGTAATGAGTTTACTTCTGTGGCCTTCAGTGATATATCATTCCTTACTGAGAAGAGTCTGCCTCAGACTTGAGCCAGTCTTGCAGTGGCTGGGTACTCGTTTGTGGATTTCTTTTCGCTATGTCACAAGTAAGTATGAGATTTTTTCTCTTTGTGCGTTTGTCCAAAGATGTAAAAGCGCTATGCCGCATTTACAACATGCCTGCGATATTTTTGCCTTTTGACCAACACATCCGACTTCTGCAGGCGTTTGTTGCCCGGATTAGCCGTTCCAGAGTTGGAGATTTAAGAAATAAAAAGTGACTTGGGCTATCAGTGCGGCCAAGGCTAAAATGGGTATCAGAAAATGTTCTGGGAGATAAAGGTGCTCATTAATTGATTTAGGAACAACTGGTCAGATCTTTACAAACGCTGGACTTTCATGTAAGAGACCCAGGTTTGAATCTTCATTAAGGCGTTGTATTTTTTGCTGTGGAGAAAAAAAAAAAACTTTTACAGTTATTGGTGATTGCACTAGCCATGTGGCTCCAAAATCCTTAGGCTTAAAGTTCCTGCTGCCCCTCCACTCCCCATCTAACACTGCCCTAAAATTGGTACATATCGGCATTAGAGAAAGAGACCAATTTAATGATAAAAATATGAGTAAAGCATCATATACACAGTACACCTGAAAGCATGAAAAAAGGATCTTTTACTTGTAAGAAAGTGCATGTCTCAGTTCTCCAGGGTTGGGAAGTGAACAAGCAGATAGAGTGGCTGGGTCTGTACCACTTGTTGGTAAATTGATGCATGACAAGCAGAATGTTCTAATGACCCTTTGGCCGTGAGTACAGAGTGAGGAAGCACAGATAGATCATCATGGTCTGATGAAAATTGTGCAGCGAGAAGTGACCAGGGGACTTTAACTCTTTGAGTCCCAGGGAACGCATCATTCGTTCATAGGTTCTTACCTAGAAGCACAATGAACGCATGATGTGTCGATTTTAGTCTCTCTTTACTACCCATTGGTCCTGTGATGCTAAACCCCCTGGGACTCAAAGAGTTAATTCATAATTCATAACGAATTAATTTGTTCAGCACAAGGGTCTCAGGTAATTTACTATAATTTTCTTATTTTTATCGTGATATTGATTTCTGAATTTATTGATTACATTGTTAGTAATTGATTTTCTCCTAAGACAAAAAGTCAGGTATATATGGTCTTGTAACATGATCTGCTTTAAACAGCACACCACAAATGTTGGCATCTTTCCATCTTTCTATATGATATCCAGAGTGCTATAGGGTTAGGGTTGAAGTTTCTCCTCATCATACGACAGTGTACAGGCAGTATTGCAGAGACCATAGGTTGCCCAAGCAGCACGATCCTTTTTTGGGGGGCCAGCTTTGTTACTTTCAAATAAAAGGTAACACCAATATGTTTAGGACAAAGCATGCTGCAGAAACTGCCACATCAAAAGATCACTGCTCTGTCTGTCATTTCACAAATAATATTGACATATGAATGAAGCAGACGAAGGAAAAGCCAGAAATCTGTCAGCGCTGGATTAGTGTAGTGCTAAAACAATAAACGCCACCTTATATGCACGCTGAACAAAGACTGTTTACAAAAACTCTTTCTCAGTTTAACACTGGAGGGTGTAACAAGGAAAGTGAAAAGAAAGAATTATTAAAGATTTACTACAGTGAAAAGTATCTGTCGTTACCAGAAATCCGAACACTTATCAAGGGAAAATACAAGGAATTGTGGAGAGAACAAACTGACAGTAAACATCCACAAGACCTCATCAGCAAACTCAACAGAAAGCAACATACAACAATTTTCTGTCTACGAACAGGACACTGCAGGCTCAACTACCACATGCATAAAATAAAGATTGTACAGTCCCCACAGTGTGCCTGTCAAACAGGACCAGAAACACCTGAGCACATTCTGCAGACCTGCCCCCTCTACCTACAAATTCAAAAAGACACCTGTCCTCAAGAGCAAAGTGTGCAGAGCAAGCTATGGGGAACCATGAAAGACCTGCTACTGACATGCGAGTTCATAGAGGCAACCTGCCTGATGGTCTGTTCTGAGCATACAAAACCAAACGCAAAGAAGAAGAAGAAAAAGTATCTATGTGCTTCTTGTCCCATACGAGAAGCAAAGCACGGTAACACTGTAGATACCATGCATGCATAAGAATTGAGTAAGGAAGGTTAGCGAAAGGCTGGCTACCTCAGTCCTGAGAAAACTTTAGCTGCAGAATCCAGCATATCATAAACAGTTTGACAAAAGATTTGAAATCTGTTCTAACATCCTTAAAGATAGGAATGTCAAGAAGATTGGCTAGTAAACAGCATCTTGCCTCAGAAACTCAAATATCTTAGCTATATCAAGCGCTATGACAAATTGGGATAAATTACAGCAGAAGGTTGGTACCAGAAAGGAGAAGGGGCTGACCAGCAAGAAGATATAAGTGATGTCTTGGGAAGGAATGTGCATGAAGCGGGAGAGCTGGCAAGAGTCCAAATTTCTCTCAGGCAGTGATAAAAGCAATGTACTCCTACATGACCATGAAAGTCTTTGCTGCATTCAGCAGTAGGTAAGTCACACCTGCTATAAGGAAAAGACAAGCACCATTCTTTGGTCGTGTAATGAGGGAGGAGGCTTTGGAAAATATTGTGATGACTGGGATGATCAGCGGAAGAAGAAGGAGAGGCAGACCGAGAGAGATAATGATGATGGCGGATGGATTGCGATGGTGGCACAGAGGGATATTATCGGTAGAATTGATTCAGAAGACAAGGGTCCGAGATCTGTGGAGATGCATGAACGCCAATGCCAGTCAGCAAGGCACATGATGATAATGATGAAGTCACAGCTCCTTCACACAAATGGGTCACCCTATAATTGCTCCGTTTCAGTGCCAGTGAAAGCCACACAGAATGCCTATCACTGTCACTGGTGACAAAATTTAAACATATTGCAGTCTGAGTAAAGCAGTCTGAGTAGCACCCGCACGCACACACACACATGCACACACACATGCACGCACACACATGCGCGCACACACATATATTAAATACATGAGGCAGCTGTCAGAAGTGCCAATACCAGCAGTCCACTACTAGAATAGCAGTTCATCATCGATGGAAGCAGCAGTTACAACAAATCTGCAAATGCAATATTGCATAAGGCACCATCAGTACTCTGAGCAGCAAGCCACTCGACATTTTCTGACTTTGTAGTTCACAACACCAACAGCTGTATCCATTTAGGAGATACAAGGCAGAAGATTAAGAGAAGGTTCTTTGTATTTGCTAACCAAAAAACCTTGAAAAATATTTTTGTTTCAACAGCTTTAGGGGGCAGAATTGGCAGCTGGAAATCAAGTAGCTCAACAAATGGCCAACTGGATGAGGATGATTTTGTTCCTCAGGTGGGGATTAGTGTTTGTCTTTCACTATCTAACTAATCTGTAATATACTCCAGTCTTGTTATTTTTGTCATATATGCTATTTTAATTATAGCTTTTTGCATTTGCAAGGTGTGTCTGTTTTTGTCCTGTTTTCTAGGAATGCATTCTGAATGTTTAACACTCAGTGATTCAGAGACACTGTTTGGATGAGAATCTAACAGGAACAAATCCAATAGACCCTTTTCAACCATATGTTCCCCGCTTGTATTAGGACATCAAGTGACCTGTCGTCCAGTATGTTATGTAATGTTTTCACAGACGACGTCACTGCACATTGATCATTCCCATGTATGCTCACCCCTCCAATGCAGCAAGCACTAATTGTTTCCATGAGAGGTTGTTTATAACGTATCCTATCTCGGCCTCGAAGGCAGCATAGACATGCTTCACCATGCTTTACTCCCATGTCACGCAATCGTGTTAGTGTCAGCAGTATTGGCGGGTGTATGTTTTTTCCTATAGTCCATACCTTTTGGTGTTGGTATTTTTGTCCACAGTTTTTTTGTCTTGTATATTGTCAGTAATTTCTGATAAAGATGTTCTTTAATGCCTTGATGCCAAACTGTCCAACTGCATCCTTTTTGGTCACTCTTGGCCAGTTTTTAACCTCAGACGTTTTCATTTTCTGTTACTAAATTAATTTAATTATTTATTCGAAAACTATGATTAATATAACTTATCATAATTAAGCAGGTTTGATTGTTACTGTTTTGTAAAAGATGTGGCCTTTTTCATCTGAATTAGCCAGACATTTCTTTTGGGGTTATCTTCTGTCAGTGAGTGTCGTCAGTCCACCTGTAAGGGAACATGTTTCTGTTAGTTTCAGTCACCATGTTAGTTTCAGTCACCATGTTTTTAGGGTCACCATGATATTTAACCCCCTCTGCCTTTACAAGTCATGAACAGTTCCTCTGATGATGTGATATGAGTTGAGAGTCTGGGTTCTGTTTAAGAAATGGCTGGCAGAAAAATAAAGATAAGTTTCTTTGCATTTGCTGGAAAAATTAGCATCACATTTCAGAGCAGCTTCTTGCTGTAAATGCAAACACTACAAATTCCGAACTATCACTTAAAACACACAAAAAACACACAAATTACAACAGATTTTAAAACTACACTTCTATTGGGTGCAGTGGTAGTAACATATCGGTGAGATGCCTGTCGGCCTGAATGTCTTGCATTCAACTCCACACTAAAGCAGATTTTTTTTCTCTATCAGGGACATAAAAGACATATTTTTTCATTTCTCATTTTGTTTATCTATTTATTTAAAACTCAGCCACCGTGAACCATAGTAAAGTAAAGGACCCTTTTCCATGCCTTCAGGTTTACTGGGTATATAGGGCAAGACCTATATTTTGTAGACCAAACGGCACTTGGTGGGTGATGTGGTCAGCATCACGCCGGCCGCCTTTACTTCCCAGGACTGTGCCTGGTACCCACTCAAGGCTGGGTCAACCTGGGAGCCAAAGTCATAGTGGGAAAAAAGTCCTGACCCTGTCGGGACCCGAAAACCACGACCTTCCGATCCACAGGCGGGGGTCTAGCCGTTAGACCAAGGCGGCTTCCACCGTAAACTATATGTTTATAATTTTAACCTTAGCATTTTTGTTAATGAGGTTTGTTGTGATGAATCTTGTGACATATTCATGTGTGTCTTGTCGTGACATGCTCTGAGTAATCTCGTGACATATTCTGATGTAATTTTGTGACATGTTCTGATGTCTCCTGCCTATAACACATTCTGATGTATCCTGCCTATAACATGTTCTGATGTATCCTACCTATAACACATTCTGATGTATCCTGCCTATAACATGTTCTGATGTATCCTGTGACATGTTCTGATGTATCCTGTGACATGTTCTAATGTATCCTGTGATATGTTCTGATGAATCCTGTGACATGTTCTGATGAATCCTGTGACATGTTTTGATGTATCTTGTAACTTGTTCTGATGTATCCTGTGACATGTTCTGATGCATCCTGCGTATAACACGTTCTAATGTATCCTGTGACATGTTTGATGTATCTTTTAACATGTATCTTTTTATTCTCTGATGTTCTTGTTGCAATTTGTTCTGATGTGCTTGTTGCAAAATGTTTTAATGTACCTTGTAACATTTTCCAATGGTTTTGTTATGACAAGTTCTAATGTTTCGTGTGACATGTTCTGATGTACTTTGTTACACGTTCTATTGTATCCTATGAAATGCTCTGATACACCTTATTTCAGGTGGATCCAGACATTGTGGAAGCATTAACTAAAGCCATCAGCGAGAGTGAAGATGGTAGTGGCAACTCATCCATTCCTACCCCCAGGTTGTCCAAGAATCCATCCTTCAGCAGTAATGATGACGGTATGACAATGTTGTTTGACATCAGACCATTCTGTCTTCTGTCTGTATGATTGTTTCCGTATATGTGTATATCTGAGTGTATGATTGTGGATATGTAGCATTCCCAGACTTTGTGGTGTGCGAAAATGTGCACACTATATGGAAATTAGAACCATATATTATGGTTATCACTGGACATGCCCCACCAGTGAGATTATTTACTGACATTCTGACCATTGGCTATTTCTGAAACCAGATACCTCAGCCTCCACCATGTCTGTCTGATTGTATTTGTTTTTATACCTGGCTATATGTTTTTGTCTATTCATTTGTGTGTGTGTTTTTGTCTGCACCTAATTGCTTCTGTGTCTCTGTTTTCTATGTTCATGTGCTTTTCTGTATGTCAGTATCTCTAATTTACATTTTTGAACGTGTATATGTCTGTGTGCATGTAGGCATGCATGCCTGCTTGTGCATATATGGGTTTACCTGTGTGGGCATGCATACATTTCTTTATCGGTGCCATCTATCTGATAATGATGCTGTGTAAAAATGTGTCAGTTTGATTATATAATTTCCCCATGTGGGTTTCAAGGTCCGATTATATGGAGAAAAAAGAATACTGCCCCCCAACAAGCATGTTGTACAAGTTGACTTATTAGTGGTGTTTCACTTTTAAGGCTTGGGTTATCTGCCTGAGAGACAAGGAACCAACAGTCTGCCTAATATAAGCCAGATCTGTAAAACAGATATGCATAAAAACTCAAGTTATAGATTAAGATTGAAGTCCAGAAGTTGACAAACAATCAGAACTTTTCGTCGGAGTTCACAGCCGTGAACCTGAAGAAGAAGAAGGAGATTATATAAGTGCGTACCTCTGTGTGTTAAGTCTGCACATTGTTTTTCCTATACCTCAAACATGTACATGCTAAATGTCATATGTGTTTACTCAGGAAGGCTGACATCAGAGTAAACATATGTAAATATTGAAGAAGCATTTTGAATATTATTTGTATTTCAGAGCATGAAGAAATTGATTTCGAGTTGGATATCAATCAGATGCCCTCATTTGATGACCTAGATAACACAGACGATGAAATGGACCTTCCCTCTCCAGGCAACAACAATTCCAACCATTTAAGCAGGTTAAATGCTCTTCAATTTGCAGCCGCCCATTTCGGAGATTCTGAATCAGACGATGAGCATCTACTTTCTCAGGGTCTTGATTTCGCCCAGGCAGAGGTTCGTAGTGGTGCTGGTGGGGGTTCAGGAGGTTCTTCAGCTCAAGCTGGGTTGTCATCGATAGCAGGGGCACTTGTTGCTAGAACTATTTCTTCTATGATGGAGACTGCACTGCATGGGGTTGCTTCGCTAGGCCAGGGCCAGGTGGCTTCCTCTTCTAGTGTGATTCCTCGTACTGGTGCAAAAATAACCTACACCTGCACGGACGAAGGAGAAAGCATTGACTTTCAGAATCCCGAACCTCCAATCCTTGAATCGGAAGAAGAGGAAGATGAAGACAGCCTGAGAGGAATGGATCAGATTGCTGAAATTGAAAAAGATTTTGATTTCCTTCAAGATCTTGATCCTGATACGAATGAGGAGGACCACTTCTGAACTGACTGAACACAGGAGGGATCTAAATCTCACATCATAGGCAACCTGGTTGATAAGGTGCTTTTTTTTTCTATCTTGCAGCATAGAATTGTTTTCATGCACTTTGTGCAGTTTTTAAAAATTATCACCAGTGGTTCTCAAAAGAATGGGACATTGTCAGTCAGTTCACCTCCACTAACCTTTCCCCATTTGTGAAAGAAATATCTTTTCTGTCTGTATTTGCCATTTTTAGGGCAGTATAGAATTAGGGGGGGGGGGGGATGGATGTTCTTGAGCCTAAGGGTTTATCATCTTACTGCTAATGCAGTCACCACAGACTGCAGGTTTTGATGTTGTTTTTTGGTCCCCCCATAAAAAAATACATCCATCACCTTACCAGGGATTTAAAGAAAGTCAATTTTTCCTTCCTTAAAAAAAAAAAAAAAAAACTTTACCCCTTGTAAAAAGCCATAGCCAAAACCCTCTCTTGCCCATATCTGACAGCGGCTTAAAAAATTTCCTGAGTAAACAGAGGGCTAATGTCACAAATTTGAGAACCACTTCTACTGATCTGTGAGAGTACCAAATAAGTGTTTTTAAATATAGATTTAGTTCAGTTTTTGATGAATAATTTGTAGGTAGTACAAGTGGAATTTATGTGTACTCTGATACATAGACAGTTTTATAATGTGTGCTAGAGTATAGAAAGTACTGTAATAGAAATATATTCACCAAATGTTACTTGAATTTTATTTTTGAAACATTTGTTTGTAGACAGGTATTGCCAGCAAAGATTTCTTCTGTGTTCATGCCTTTATTTTTGTGTTCATTTCATATATGTCTGTCTTTTTTTATTTAAATAATTACACGGAGATCATTTTTAATCAGGGTCTGTGGTTGTGCAGTAGCTAGAGATCTCACCTTTTGCCCTGTTGGTCCTGGATTTAATGCCCATATTTTTTTTAAACAGATCAAAAAGCTCTTCGACGCTTACTGCCAGCATGAAGGTCATGGTTAAAATTTGCTCAGAGGCCGATTATTATTATTGATCTTGGCTGCTAGGTTAATCCAGCTTTAATGGGTATCAGGAATTGTCCTTAAAAGCACTTTTTTTTTTTGAGCATTCAGTGGCTGTAAACTCTGGCAGAAAGTGCTGTTTGTTTACGTACTTCTGTACTTTGATCTTGTTCCATAATGTGAGTATTTTTTTGCATGCACATTTGTTTTACAGGTATGGCTTATTTGTATGCAGACTGTTGGTTCCTCGCCTCTCAGGCAGATGCACTCTGACTTTGAAGGAAACATGACTAATTATTCAACTTCTACAAGATGCTTTTTTGGGGAGGGGGGGGGGGGAGGGGGGCAGTGGGTCTGTTTTCCCCCTCCTCTCTGAATTGGGGTCCTGGAACCCACACTGGGTTTCCTTCAACAGACTAGCTCTGGTGAGCCGCTATATAGCACAGTAACTAGCCGCTCACCTGCCAGTGTGGAGATCCTGGAGTCAGATTTCTAAGATTGACTTTGGCTCTTAGTGTAACCTAGCCTTAAAATTAACTCATTCATTGTCCTATTCTGGCATTACATGTCACATAAGGCTCACAGTTTATGCCTCCATTTCTGTGTATCCTGTGTAGTCACTTCAGTATCATGGTAAAATCCAGTCCAGCAGCTTTGGTTTCTCTTGTCAGCGTTTACTTTAGGGTTTCTCCGGTCCCTCAGTTTCCTATTTCAGTGCTTTCAGCCTGAAATAGCTATCAAGAATTGTCCTTTAAAGCAAATGTGGCCTTGGCCACATCACCTTTCGAGTTCTGTTTGGTCTGGGAAACTATTAGTCCAGTATAATTTGTCCAGTTGATGTGAAAAAAGGTCTTTTAATTATTAAATAGCAGTGGGAATGACCGAGCCTCATTTTTATGATTAACCCTGTCTCCTAGGTTGACCCAGCCTAAATTTAGTATCAGGATTTGTCCCTAAAAGCAAATGTGGCTGTTATAACCTTGACCACATCATCCATTGAGTTCTGTTTGGCCTGTGAAAATATGAGTCCAGCCTCATATACCAAATGCCCCATTGGTGTGAACAGGGACCTTTACTCACTTACATAGGTCTGCTGGGGATGACCTAGCCTTGTTTACTCTTTCAGTACCCAGGTTTAGCATTGAAGGCCCTAAGGGTAGTAAAGAGAGATATACAATCATTCTGCAATAATTGGACTTCTAGGTACGAACCTATGAATGTATGATACATTCCTTGGGACTAAAAGAGTTAAAGATTTCTGGGAAAAGTAAGCTTCATGCTGTGATCATGAAAACATCATCCATCAAATGCTATTTCTAACAGATTTGGACTGGACAGCCTTTCCTCAACATGTCCTCGGTTTTAATAACTGAATTAATTTGATTAATACTAAGAATTAACTAAAAATAGAACTAAAAGAGATACTAAAAATAAATAGACAGTAGACTAGATGATTTGGACAAATGTTAATAATACCACCAGAAAGTGCACCAAAGTGAGCCCTGTCATTTAGACACAAGTAAAATAGTACTAGAGGTTGACCATGCAAGCAGTGGATAGATGGAATATTCAAAGTGAATACCAGCATGTACATAACCCACACCAAATCACACCAAGGCTCACACCCGATGCCTCTTCAAAACCTGATGTTAGAAGGTTGAACATGACTAGAGAAAACGGGCTGCGATTGTTTGAATGTAAAGATATATTTATTTTCAGCAGTTAGACATAAACGCTGTGAATAAATTAACAGGACAAGTAAAATTATATTGTCAGGATTCTTCTTATTCTTCTTTATTCACCCTTAAAAGTGCAGTTGACAAGCAATGCTGTGGTTTACAGCTAGTCTGTGATATCTGCACCTTTTGAAAAAAAAATATATTCGATTTAATGAAACCCTTTTTGAATAAATTAACAGGACAAGTAAAATTATATTGTCAGGATTCTTCTCCTTCTTTATTCACCCTTAAAAGTGCAGTATATATTTGATTTAATCAAACCCTAATTTAGTTGCTTTTTTAGGGGCAGTGGGTCTATTCTTGTCCCCCAAAATGAGGCCTCTGAAATTTCATAAACAGATTGTAACTAATAATGATTATGTTTAATCCCTGTATGGGTTCTGTGACCCCATTGTGAGAGAAACAAGAACAGACCCCCTGCCTCCCCAACAAGCATGTCTTAAGAGGGACTAATAGAGGGGCTTCCTTCAAAGTCAGAGTGCATCTGCCTGAGAGGTAAGTAACCAACAATCTGCATACAAGTAAGTCAGATCTGTAAAAATAGATGTGTATGCAACACTCAAGTTCCGGAACAAGACTAATATCCAGAGGTGGACGAACAACCAGAACTTTCCGCTGGAGAATGTAAAGAAGAAGATGATTGTATTTAAGTAGTGAGCCCTGGCTGGCTGCTGATGGTTTGTTTTAGAAAAATTGTGTTGCATGTTTTCAAATTCATTATAAAAATGTAGTTTCACTGCTAAGTTTTTGACATTCTGCTGCCAAATGAAGCCAAAAACAAATTTTCCTGCCTACACATTGTTAAATCTAGACAGATGACCGTTAGATTTCACATTTCTTTCTCTTCTTCTGTCTTTGCCCTTGAAAGGACATTTGTGTTGTAGTTTACAGCCAGGCTGAAATATTTGTTCTTTTCAGCCTAAGACATCCCATGGCAACAAACCTGGTTTCAGTCACCTTTTACGATATGCTTGTTTATGGAGCAGTTGGTCTATTCCCCCCCTCCCCCCCTTTTCCAAAAATGGAGTTATGGAACCCACATGGGAAGATTTCACATTTTAATTGTTTCTCTTTAACTTTCACATTTTAACTAATAAATTACTGTAATCAGTTGAAAAAATAAACTTCGTGCAGTGCGGTAAAGAGAGAATAATAAACTGTAACTTTTTCAGTTATCACAAAGAACAAATACATTGAGAATGTAAAATGAAAGAAAAAGTGTTCAGAAACCTTGGCTGAAATTATAGACACAAGACATTTCATATCGTTTTAGTCACATTTTTTTTACTTAGAAGAGTTTTGAAATATTTTTATTGTTTTTGTGTCAACATCAGTAGTTAAAATGCAAACAACAGAATTGAAAATCACAGTAACAGAAAAGAGCAGCGCACCATGAACATAAGAATGCTCACCTATAACACTAAAATCTCACAATTAATCACTCTACCGGTTCTGCACCGCTTGGTAGTGAACTGATGTATGACAAGCTGGATGTTGTGAGGGCTCTTTGGGAGCGATTAAACAGTCAGGAGGCACAGATAGATTATTACAGTCTGGGGGAAATGGTGCTGTGAGAGTTACAACAGGATCTTGCCGGCGCTCAAAAAAGTGAAACAGATATACAGTTAGACAGTTACTGGTGCCATTAGAATTGAAACTCTTCGCTTGCTGCTGAAGATGGGGACGGAGCGCTTGTGTGGGTGTCCCGAGTGCTGTGATGTCGATTCTTAATTCAACATTCAATTAATCACCATACATTTCTTCTTCTTCTTTTTATTTTCTCTGCCAGTGGTTCTCAAATGAGAAGGCTACAGGCATCTGTGAGGGTTAAGGGTTGACACATGACCTCCACTGATGCATACAGCTTGGTTTCCAAAGGGATGCCAGCTAGCCAAATCTGGGATATTTCTACTGCATGTAATGAACATGTCTGCAGCACATGATCAGTGTTCTCTTCTTCTCAGCATTCACTAGCTGTAAACTCCAGTAAAAAGTTCTGGTTGTTCGCCCACCTCTGGATTTTGGTCTTGTTCCAGAACTTTTGCATGCACATCTGTTTTACAGATCTGCCTTGTTTGTTTGAGGACTATGGTTCCCTACCACTCTGACAGATGGACTGTGACTTTAAAAGGAACATGTTCAGTATTCTTTAGTGTATGTCCACATTGGCAGAGTTCTGAGTTTTGTTTTCTCCTAAACATATGGCTGTGGAGTCTGTTGTTTCCAGTTTTCTTCTAAACATATGGCTGTGGAGTCTGTTGTTTC